CGATTAAATTCAAACTTGACCCGTGTTTTCTGGTAAAATACCTGCATGTGCAATTCCAACCTTATACATACATCCCTATACAAAAGTATCAGAGCTGAAACTGAAAAATCCTTATTTTTTCTAAGTTCAAGAGGGATAACTCTGTCAAAAATCATCGGACCATGACCAAATTCAAATTCGAACTTGACAGGTATTTTCTAGTAAAATATCTGTATATGAAATTCAAACCTAATACATACATCCCTACAAAAGTTCGAGAGCGGAAGCTGAAAATTTCTCTTTTTTTCTAAGCCCAAGAGGGATAATTCTGTCAAAAATCATCGGACCATGACCGAATTCGAACTTGATCTGCATATATTCCTTTATCTATATGTCAAATCTGAGTTGAATGTGTTCAATTGTTGCCGAAATAATGAACGGAAAGTCAATGATGACGGAACATGGTAACACTATATGCCCCCGGCCATTTTATGGCAGGGGCATAAATATTTGCATATATTAGTTTAAGTTTTGTCTGCTTGACTTCTACAACATTTTAGTACAACATAAAAATTTTGTCTTAAACTTATGACGTTTCATGATCCTGGGGCCTGTACCTACCAGTGCGTTTAAAATTATATACATCAAAACTTTTTTACACTTTATACAACCATTCCTCATTATAAATTGAAAACTATGATTTATGATATCACAGACAACTGCGTCATCAATGAAAATGGAACTCGGAAATTTTCATAACTTGTGACTGGTCATCAGCAAAATTAATTTTGTTATTAATTACTCTGATTCTACACAAAAGTACCCTGAAGTTGATATTAAAAAGATGCTGGAGTTCCTCATTGACAGTATTTACATGTATGTAGTCCTCGGGGACCAGATTCTCCAACAATATGTTGGGATTTCGATGGGAACCAATTGTGTTCTTTTATTAGCCAACTTGTTTTTATATTTCTGTGAAGCAGAATGACTCCAGCTTTTCCATCGTCAACTTTCCTTATTTATGTAGTAATATCCCACTATCACCTGCATATGGTGTTAACGTCTCCCACCTTTATTCGATACTTAAGAGTATGCTCTGGGGACGATCAATTTTTAAACCGAGGAAAGCTACTGACAGGTAAGTTGATGTTACAGGGATTTCAGCAACCTCCTTTAATGTCAGCATGTCGTAAATTCGATGGTCGTTAAAATGAAATATATTATTGGGTGATATTTTGGCTGATGTGTTTTATACCGATTGTAAGCCCTTTGTTGTTATACTAAATTTGACTACGAAATGTTCCGTCTACCTGATCAATCCACAGGGCTCACGGCGGGTGTGACAGGTCAATAGGGGATGCTCACTCCTCTAAGACACCTGATCCCACCTCTGCAATTTTCCTGGGGGGGGGGGGGTATGTCCTATTCACAAATTTGTATTGTTTGTAGATTTCTCTTCAGATCGATCACTGTTCGTTATCTTTATCTTTTTCGTTCAATTAATCTTTAAAACTGAAAGGATTTCTCAACTTTCTCTAATATTTAAAGATTGATAAATAGGACACTTTACATCAGATTAGAGAACATTTTACAGTGCAGATGTTGTCTCTCTCTCTAGATATACAGCTTGATACAAAGCAAGTATCTGTTCAAAGCTATACGTGTATTTGTAAATCTGATAAATCTTATTATCTTAACATCAAGTAGGGACCAGATGATGTCGAATATCGTTTATTACAGGGACATTTTAAGATATTCATTCAGATATTTATCGATATAGGCTTCATTTTTTCCTTCAGTTTCAAAGATACTCTAGTGTGACAAATAATTTTCAAGGAAACATCCGCATGTGGCGAATATCATCATCAAAAGTGGCAAAGCCAATGCGTTCACGTAGCCGCAAAGATTCTTATGGATGCATTTTTTACTTGAATTGACTGTTTTTAATTTTCATACTTTTACAATTCGCTCTTTCTTTGACAGAGTGTCAGAAGTAAGAAATACGATCACCAATGGTCTGGTTCCCGCTCCCGCCACTGTGTTTTCACTGTTTTGGTCCAAAACGAAGTGAAAACACAGTGACGCGAACCAGACTAGACCATTTAGTCGAAGACTGTCAATAAAGTTTCCTTCTGTGGCAAGGAAATGTCATCTCTCTCTCTCTCTCTCTCTCTCTCTCTCTCTCTCTCTCTCTCTCTCGTGCAATAATAGGTTTGACAGTGTCAAAAATGGAACTATCGTGATAATATATAGTGGCTAGGACTGAACATTAACAATTTGCTCACATATTTCAAACTCTCTCTTCGATGAGTCAACGATGTATGTCCAGACAGAAAGCTGCAAACATTACGGTTTTTTGACCAAAGACAATATGTTTACCCCGTTGAAATGTTTACCCTCGATAGATTAGTACCTTGATATCTGGCAAAAAGTCTGCTTACGTAAAAGCTCTCAACAGTGAACTCACATGAAATACGCTGTCAACATCATGAATACTTCGGATAAAGGTTGTCCATGATAAATTCATGAATCACATATCGTCAACAATACGCTCATTTGTGGCAAAGGTTGTTTCTCTTACAAATAAGAGTCTGGGTTAACGTCCCTACGCTCCATATATTCTGCCAAGTCTAAAGTTACTCGCCGCTAACCTTTAGGATACTGAAGTGAAAGGCTCTATGCACTACACTTTGGTAGATATATATGTATACTTCCTCTTCAGCTCATCTGAGCTGAAGTCTCAAGTGAGATTTCTGTTAAGTTTTAGTCCTTCGTTTGTCTGTCGTTCTGTCAGTATAGTAACTATAAATATTTTCGACTTCTTCTCCAGAACTTCTATCAATACCAACAATATCAAAGCATCCCCATGTTTTGCCGATTCAAGTTCAGTTTAATCATTACTCCTTGAGGCTAAGTTTGGGCCACAATATGGGTCAAATAATTTTCATGGGGATGAAAAGGGAGAGAAATCTTTTAAAAATTCTCTTTATGAAGAACAACAGGCCATGATGACTCAGGAGGTGAGCGTTGTGGTCCATAGGACTTTTTTTTTGGGGTGGTAGTGTTGAGGCAACGACTGCGCCCTCTTGACAAGAATTGTAGGCAATTTGCCTATGGCAAAGATTGCTAAAGACACTAGTATGCCCTCATATGGCAAGAATTAACACATGTAAAATGCTCACGATTCCTCCCGAGGTGGAATTTTTTGACATTATACTATGGGTCCAAAAATTATTACAGAAACAAGTGCCTGTTATAAATCTGAATAATTCTAGCCTATCTGGGAAGAAAATTTTAAAAGAATTTTCCAGCTGTACATGTATAATGTCAAATATTGAGACTCCTTCCTTGGCCCAGGGTCATAATTTAAAAAAAAGGAATCTACAGATTTACGGAACCTTTCATAAACGTTTAGTCCTTTCTAGTTAAGTGGTTCTTGAGACGACGATTTTTTTTTAGATGATCAAAACCTTATTTCCTCAATGTTTCCTGTAAAGGGGACATGTATCTTATATGTATCTTCTTTTATACATACTTGACTCGCCTTTGCCTATGGATGCTTTGTGCCAAGAGAAATTGCTTTATTGAAAAACAAGTTGATGAAACTAGAATATCAGCAGTCTCGTTTAAGGTATTCAGTGTATAACGACCATTTTTTGTACCAAATAAATGAATGGTCCGACTCTACCAAAGGATTTAACCAAATTTTTATTATTGTACAATTAATTGTACCTTGAAGTTAACATTGAAGTCTATGGGCAGCGCATGTGTTATTAAGATATTGTAAGAAGTAATTTGAATTTCGTACAAATCTCCTGGTGAATATATGCATAAACTCTCTCTTTATCATAATATGAAATAAAATGAATCATTTACCATAGATGTTGTGAAAAAATTAAAAATTTTCCTGTTTTTATCAAGGGCAGATAACTCATTAAAAACTTTTAATGTGCAAAATGACTGGTTTCTTACATGTTATATGTCATGTGAATATGGTTCATTTCACTTTCATCGTTATCTAGCAAAGCATTTTTAACTAGTTTAAGATGATTCAAAATTGTTCAAAATCCCTTCATTATACATTGAATACCTTAAAGTCGTCATTTCGTAAGTTCTATTGTCGAAACAATGGCCTTGTCAGCAAATACAATTCATCATTAAAGTCAAATGCTGACTGACGTTTTTCATACTAATTGTTAGGCCATTATTTACACACTGAATTGTCGATGAATTATTACCCGATCATGACAAGGACCGTGTGACCGGTCGGCAGGGGAAACTCACTCCTCCATGATATCTGATCCCACCTCTGATGTTTTAGAATTCCGTGTTTGCTCTGCTCCAAAATTTGTATTGTTTAATGGACTTTTGAGCTTGAATACTGTTCGTTATCTCCTCCATTAGTTTTGGAGAGAGTTATCTGACGACATTCAGAAAGACAGACAGACGAAGGACAAACCTCGATCAGTAATGCTACGTTCCCACTGTCGTACGGTCTGTTAGGAACGCCACGATTGATAATTCGTAGGCGATCGCAGAGTTTTTATTGAATTTAATGCCAAGATACGAAGAGACGCGCATAGATGCGTTTTCATACGATTCGTTGCGCTTTGATGCGGTATGGTCACGATGGGTAAATTTCATGTGACGCGATCTCTGACGATCTAACTACCCGCTCAGATAAGATGAATTACGTTCCAATAGGATTGTAAAGATTTAGTTGAGGAAAGAACCTCGATCTGTTACAAATATCACGATATGAGTCCCCGATTTGAAACGATCTTCTACGTTTAAATACGTACTTTTACGATATAATGCGTTCATCACGCCCCGTTGCGCTAATTTGCGAAAGAACAACACGTTAATTGCAACGTTTTTCACGATCAGGATCAAGATGATATACGCTTTGAGCTACGATTGTACCCCGAAAGATATATTTTTATAAACAATCTCAATATATTGAGTCCATTATATTTTATCTATTTAAATGTAAACACAACAAAACAATACAATCAATAAGAATGGCAGAAGTTGAGATAGATGACAACGTGGTGTTTGCAGTACTACTATGTTCGTATGTAATTGCTATGGAAGAAGAGGAAGAGCAGCAGATAAACAATGTACAACCTCATCAAAAAAGAGTTAAAAGAGCTGCACACAGGCAATTTTGGGTGCGACCTTGGCTAACAGAGGGGAGAAGACAACAGTTCGGCCACTTCTCTAATCTTCTGGACAGTCACTTGAGGCTTGAGGATCCAGCAGCATTCCAAAATTATACACGGCTAACGCCAGAGCTTTTTGATGAAGTCTTGCAGAGGATAACCCCAGAGATTGAGAGGGAAGTCACAAGTTTTAGGCAACCTCTCTCACCTGCATTGAAACTGGCAGTGACCCTGAGGCACCTTGCCACTGGAGATGGCTATCGGTCACTTGCATATGCATTTAGGTGTGTAGTGTCCAGTATCTCAAAAATGATCCCAGAAGTGTGCCAGGCAATTGTACAAGCATACAAAGAAGAGGTGTTTAGCTTACCTGTGTCTCCTGAAGCCTGGAAAGCTTTAGCTGTTCAGTTTGAGCAGAGATGGAACGTCCCCCATGCAGTTGGCGCCCTAGATGGTAAACACATTGCTATCAAGAAGCCACCTCAAACTGGCAGTATGTACTTTAATTACAAAGGTTTCTTTTCAATTCCACTTCTTGCTCTGGTGGATGCATGTTACAAGTTTGTATGGATCGAGCTTGGTGGAAAAGGACACATGTCAGATACTCAGATATTTGGTGACTCAGAGTTGTTCAACGGCCTGGAAGAGAACGCCCTAGGACTACCCCCACCCTGTCCTCTGACTTCAAGCCCTGATGACTTCCAGGACATGCCTTTCTTTATTCTAGGAGATGATGCCTTTGCTCTTCGAAACTACCTCATGAAACCATATAGCAGAAGACAAATGTCCAGAGAAGAGAGGATTTACAATTATAGAATTTCAAGGGGAAGGAGAGTGGTAGAAAATGCATTTGGGATTCTAGCTAATAGATTCATGTGTCTTCTAAGGACTTTAGAACAGAAGACCGATACTGTGAAGGATATAGTGGAGGCAACAGTGATTCTGCACAATCTTCTCAGGCTGAGACATCCAGGTATCGTTATTCAAGAAGTGGACCATGAGGATTTAAACCACGATATCATCCCAGGGGCGTGGAGAGACCAGGTGGATTGGCCAGATGTGGACCAACCAAATGCACCTCGCAATACAGCTACAGGAGATGGAAAATATCATAGGGAACTCTTGAAGAAATTTTTCAGCTCACCACAAGGTGCGGTCGATGGCGGGGCTTCATGACACCGAAAATTACATCCGAGTTTGAATATACTGTTTTGAATTGAAAAAAAAAATCTGTTTTGATGAAATTATATTTCTATTTTCTGCATCAATTTTTATCATTTTTTTAAGGAATTTTTTTTTATGTTTTTAGAATATGGTATGAAATTCTCAGTCAAGGTTTATCATATTTAAGTACTTGGAATAATGTGAAAACGATTTTCTACATATAATAACGGTCGGTCATCATGTAAAAATAAAATATGAAAAAATAGAAAATAATATAAATTTTATGACAATCTTTATTTGGTATTATTTTGATAAATGTTATATATACGCTTGCTGTTGTCAAATGGGTTTGTTTATGTGTGGTATAGCTCTGATTCAGCATCCTCGTGGGCTGCCTCTGGGGTGTTAAGCTGAGTTGATAAAAGGTTAACGAATGATTCTTGTTCGGTTGTTGAAACTGGTGTAGTGCTAGCTGTGGTTATGGTAGTTGAATTTACTGGTCTTAGCTGAGATCTGGTTTGTGGTAATGGACAGGTAATCGGGATAGCTGGGAATTGCCGCTGAACGTAGGCACGATCCTGACTTCCCCAGACACTTGTTTGCGGTCCCACAGGGCGAACTGGCCACTGGGACGGTGGAGGTTGCCACTGTGTCTGATGGAACTGTTGCTGACAAAAATCTAATTGTGCTTGTTCCTCTTGGCTTGATTGTGACTGTTTTTGGTTGTTCTCGGCTGCCCGTTGAGCCCTATGCAGCTCCTGCATAATATTGATCTCTGCCTCCCTCCTTATTTCTCCAGGTAGTTTTGATAGCGTATCATCCACATATCTTCCAAAGTGGGAGCTGCCAAACTAGCAGTACTTCTTGACATAAATTCCACCAGTAGTTCTTCTAAAAATATAAGTGATAGACATGGTAAAGTAGAAACTTAAACAAGTGCATTTTTGTTCTAATATAACCCCCCCCCCCCTCTATCACACATTTCTAGAATTTTTAAGGTACACAAGGTAATCAAAAATTTTTGAAATCAATTATCATAACATTTTCTATGTAAGATTTATGAGGAATTAGATTAATTGTAATGATAAGTACTCATTTTAACAGGGGACACCTTTTCCTCTCTTCCTCGTAGACAGCCGTCTGATCCTGACTGAGAGATTCCTGGTGAAACTGATTGTGGTACTGGTGTTGAAACCCTACTGGAGTTAGACAAATCGGCGGAGCTTTGCTTGGTACAAGATGACAATTCGGAGCTACCTGCTGTAGCTGCCGCAAACAAGCACACATTCCTTGGTTCCACCGTCTCAATATGGGGGATAAGAAACGAAAACTTATCCCACACCCACTTCTCCGTGCTGTTCATGTCATCAGTAAGGGCATCTCCTCCTGTCCCACTTTTCCTTGCACGTTTCTTTAATCGACCCATCATTGTTCTCATACTTGAATACCATGTTTTCAGTTGATCGACATTCGTATTCATTTTTGCTGCCTGAGCAGCCCATATGTCCTCTTTGCGACATCTTTAAACCCAGCCAAACGTTTGCTGTACAATACTTTGTTTCGAATCAAAAATTCAATTATTTCTTCCTTCTGTTCTTCAGTGAAGGAAGTAACTGTCTTCTTTTTATTTGTTCCTCTCTCCTCCGGTGTAGCCTCTGATTGAACGTGTTAAGGTTCACGTTCAGCAGGAGATGGGATCACTCGCCTCTTTCCTTTTTTGCCCCTGTTTCCCTTGGGTGGCATCTTCAAAATATTTTTTAATACTGATGTCTTCTTCCGATCGGTGAATGAAACGCATCAAATTTTGCCCGTTATTTATGTGAGTTTAATTACTCGTAAGATAGCGTATGCGTCCGTGGCAAAGCGTCAGTACTCGTATCTAATCGAGTTTACTCTCATCTGTCCGTATGAAATCGTATCTGAGCGGAAATAATTCGTGTCAACTCGTGAGCAGTAGGACCACGCAAAGAGTCACGGATAGTGACAGAACGTGAGACATCGCAACGAATCGCAAACCAACGGGGTGTCTGTCCTGTCCGAGGTCGATCCCAATGATCACGATATGAATGCAAGATTAGATGCGCTTACTTACGATGCAATTTAGGTTAGTTACGATGCAATACGGTCTGATGCGATGATGACGATTAAAATCTAATCGTGTTAATAGTGGAAAAATTTTTGACAGTCAAAAAAAATTCCACGACCAACACGATAGTCACGAGTGAACACAAGATTTGTTACGGTTTGATACGATCACTACGATTGTCCACGTTTGAGTCCCCGATTTCATTCGTGGCACCAATCGTGATAGTGGGAACATAGCATAAAGCTCATATTAGCATAAAGAAATAACATGTAGATATCTATAATTTTTTAATACATTTGCATATAATTATATAATATCGCCCTCAGAAACTAAGTCATTTTATATTTGATGTAGATTTAAAATAAAAAAAATCATGCATGCTAGAATTATAATATAACGAAAGGGTTTCAAAGGCAAAATAAAATGAATAATATATCTTTGGAGGAAACACCATAATATGTATTGATGAGTTGAAGCAGTGTATGGAGCAATACGATGAACGCACCAGTTGAATGTTCAATGGTGTAAAAAATAAAAAGATAAAAACTTCCAATATCCTCTTACTTAAATTTCTGATAACATCCGTATCAAAAATTTTATTAAGTAGTGTAGACTTTTTCATGGTCTAGAGGTGCGTAATGGTTTTTAGTCAGCGAAGATCATATCTGGAATAATGCATGCAGAGGATTTTTTTTTTTTTAATTTCCAATTCTTGCCATATGCCAAAGATGTACATGTAACTTTGAAGATTTGATTGGATTTGATTAATTATCACTTTTTTATGTTTTTAAATTACAACGTGTTTATTGTTTATTCGCCTATCAAGGGCCCTCATGGAGACATGTACAATTATATCAGTATGATCAAATCTAAGTACATTATAAAACATTAATCATTTCCACAAAAGAATTTCCTATATGGAGGGTGTACAATACCACATTATGATATTCGTGTGCGTAAAATATTTTACATTTCACAGTTGTCTAAAACTGGGTAAAAAAATTGAAGAGATACAAAACCATATGATGATATTTAAAAATAATGATCATAATATAGCAGCACACTACTGTATAGAGTTTTAAAAAGGTGGCTTGAATACAGAGGATACCAGAGGACGATGCCTGTGCGCATTCAATCTGACAAACCTGTACTCTCACTATTCAAGACATTTATTCAATATACATTTAATAGTGTTAGGAAAAAAAAGATACATAGCAAGAAATTATGTTCTGTACATAAATAGACCTTTATGAAATGAGTTTCTGACTGAAGTTTATATTTTGTAATCCATTTTTCAAAATTATTTTACCGATTTGCACACGTTTTGACACCTAAGTCATAAGTCAACTTAACTTATGTTCAAGTTAATTATGGAAATTCTTACAGGATTTATTTATCAATTCATATTAGACATTTCTTTCATCCTTAACATGATTATACATGCGCGGATCTAGAGGGGGCGGGGGAAGGGTCCGGACCCCCCCCCCCCTCCTGGAATTTGCAGAGTTAAAAAAGTATATACTGAAGCAAATAAAAAATGACTTTGGACCCCCCCCCCCCCCAGAAAACGTGGACCCCACCATCACCACCACGAAATAGGTTTTTTTTTTTACATTTTGGAAATGGAATTTACCCTTTTTTGAAGAATTTTTGGGTTAGAATTTTATTCTTGACTGGGTTGGACCCCCCCCCCCCCTGGAAAAAATTCCTGGATCCGCGCCTGATTACATGAAAGAAGAAAATGTTTTTCATCATCCACTGTGTTACATTTAGTACAGTGTCTTTATTATATACCGTACTCTTTTAATATTACGTCTCTGTGCTGATATGCGACAGCGTGTAAAACTTCTCCTCGATCTGCTCTTTTTTCTCCAATATTTTAAGGTATTCTTCCTGACCCAATTTTCTTCAAAATTGCTGTCGCAACTTTGCTTTTTGTCAAAATGTGAATTCCATTCCTTAGTATAATGTTTAAATAAAAATCTTTATAAGTGGATTTGAATTTATGTACTTTGACTGAAGTTAAACCGCGAATAGCATCGATATTGGTGAAATGATAATTAATGGAGGTGTACTAAGAAGGAAGATTCTTCTCAATCAGTAACTTGGATTCACGAAAGTGGAAAAGACTGATCTAAATTTTCAAGTCTATACCAATAACTTATCTTCAAAGTTTAATCTTATACAGATAGCACGTATCTGTGCAACTTTGCGAATTTGTGCTTACAAAGTACATGTATTGATTTGCAAAATTTCAGATGAAGTTTATCACAGATTAAGTTTGAGTATATTTGTCAATAGTACGGCCACCACAGATGCTTTTTTTTTTGGTAAATCCCAAAATGAGATTTCAAATGCATACAATAAAATAGGTTTTAAATTAAGATGATCAAAAATGTGAATAGTGGTTTCAATGTAGGATTCAGTGAAATGAAATTTTTCCTGAGTTTAAAAAATGATTTTGATGTTTTTTGATAAAGTTGCTTTTCAGCAAGAGAGAAAGAGTCTGCATGGGGAACAAAATGTTAGTACACTTATTTGTATAAAATATAATACACATTCCAGTTCATCACCAGCAAAGGAATTTTTTTTTTGAGAATCTACCTGCTTCTTAAAAAACCATTTTAAACACGTGTATTATATTTTATACAAATATTTTGTTCCCGAATGATTGGCGTCTCAATATCAATACATCCAGAACTAAGATAATGGTTTTTAACAAGCAGGTAGATTCTCAAAAACAAAATAGTACTTTGCTGGTGATGAACTGGAATGTGTATTATGTCTGTCTTTAATGGTCTGATGTTCTTGCTTTTCGAGTGAAACTATGATCTGATTATCACTGCTTAATGTTTTTCCAGAAATTTATCAAGGCAGGTGTCCAGAATTTTATTTGATAACTCTCCTATTGCATCTGTAACTGTAATGCCCATATATTTATTTGTATTAGAAGTGTTATTGGTATTTGAACTTATTTCTAAATAGCTGATTTTCAATGCTACTCAGAAAGGGGGGGGGGCGTTAAGAAGAAAAAGAACTATGTTGCTGTAAGTACCCCCTTTATAGATATGTACATTTAGATGTAAATATTAAATAATCATTAAAATAAAGTGTGACCTCGTCGTATATAATTATCATAATGAATCACCATGCACTGTTTTAATGTTTGCGAAGCAAGAAAGGAGCGAGCTACTTCGGTTTATTTAATCCAAGTTGCGTTGATGCTTCAATTTGGATGTACGAAATACTTTAGATAAAACGTTGTTTTGATCTTGTTATTAAGGACACTGTCGACGACTTTCTAAGTTCTTTCTAGAAGCCCTGAGTGCCAAAGTAACAAAATTTAAACATGGCAAACCTATGCAAAACTTTTGTTCGGTCCTTTGCAACAAGTGCACAAAGAGCAAATGTCTTTAACCATGTTACTGTAGTTGGAGGAGGACTTATGGGGGCAGGAATTGCACAGGTGAGTTTGAACTCTGAACCCTGAGCCTTGTTTTGAATGCATGCATAAGGTGCCTCTTTGATTTCTTTTAAACTAGATTAGGCCTATATATTCTTACAGGAAAGTTGAACATCCTATTGTCATTGTCATTGTTTTTTAAAAAAAATATTTAACAGCTCTGTTCTGGAGAGTATATGGACATACCCAGGCAATGAAAAACAATTACTGCAGTAGGAACTTTTTGTGCACAATAAATTATAATATATACATGTAGTTTTTGCTATGGATGCCACTGATGAACTCTCCAGTCTGTCAATATATTTTTCAGAGAGCTACAGTTCTGCAGCTATGCTGTTATATGAGTTTGTTGTACTAAAAATTTCAATTATCTAAAGGAGCTGAATGATTATAGAATTCAGAAAAGGAGATAATATGCAATATTTTTCAAATATGAAAACATTTATTGTCATTAAGTCTAATTCTTAAAGCCATGTATGGCATATTTAAGATAAGTTTATATAACCAAAATTGAAAAGATCTTTCTATTTGTTTTATTTAAGGAATAACTGTCTTATTTTTTGGATTCATGATGTGATCAATCGAGTGGCTTGCGTGATAATTTGCATAAACGCCGAAGGCGTTTATGCATAAAATTATCACGCAAGCCAATCGATTGATCATCGTCATGAATCCAAAAAATAAGATAGTTATTCCTTATATTTACATGCTCCTGATTCTGCAAATTCCTGTGCTAATAGCCCCGCTTCTGTCTCTATTTGTCCCGCCCCGCACGTGATTTTTTTTTTAACCGCGCCTATCGATGAACCAGTAGATTTATGTAGAAATAAAGTATTTTTACAATTTGTAATTTTATCTCTGACAAAGACATTGGAAATGTAAATATTACTTTATATAAATTAAGATAGGACTTTTCTGTAAATTACACAATTTAATTCAATCGTGTTTCAAAGATATCAAAAATTTAAAACAATAACCGATTTATTTACCAACTTCACAAAAATAACAGAGATCTGAATAACTCTGCCTTAATTTGATTGTGTGACACTATATTTAGACAATCGAAACAATTAACAATAATGACTTACAATTAGAATGAGGAGTAGATATTAAGCAAACACAAGCAGTTGAATAGATTCAGAGAGAAAAGCGAGAAAGAGATAGGTAGATTTGGAGACAAATAAAGAGAAAATGTTATATTAACAATATCATGTAATTCATACCTCTTCTTCGATCATAGCTTTAGTGCTTTGTTTTCCCACAGTCATGCGCATGGTGGATCTTATTAATTAATATTCAATACATATTAGAACAAAGTTTAAAGTCAATTTAACTATAGAAAAGTGAGGTTATTCAAGTTCAAAATCGGTGAAAAGTTTAATTTGAACGTACATAACATATATCACGTATACTCAATCTCATATTCTATTTTTAGTTCAGATACACCATTTATGGCTTTAAAATAATTATGAACTTTGTTAAATTTTGAATCATAATTATGAATATGTAATTGGTAAAATTTTGAGTCATGCATACATATGTGATGCCATCATTTACTGATTTAGGTTGCTGCATCAACAGCACACAATGTGGCCTTGGTTGACCAGAACAACACAATTCTGGGTAAATCTATGACTAGCATTCAGAAGAGTCTGGATAGAGTGGCCAAAAAGAAATTTGCTGACAGCCCAGCAGTAGGTTCATCTTTCTTGTATATGCACATACTGAAAAGTAGTGAAATTAATTGAAAGAAATGAAAATCTAGTTGTCAAACAAATATGTCATGTTCTTTTTCCATTTTAGGCAGGAGAACAATTTGTAAGGGATACTCTTGCTAGAATAACCCCTGCTACCAGCCCCATCACTTGTGTTTCTCACACAGATCTGGTGATAGAAGCCATTGTTGAGGACCTGGAGACTAAGAAGAAGCTGTTCAGAGAGCTGGAGGCATTAGCTCCACAGTAAGAATCTATTCTAGACTAGTTATTCATTTATTGTTTCTGCAGTTGTCTATGTGATTGAACCAGATCATGTCCAGATCACAACTATAGAAACTTTGACTAGTAGGAATAAGAACTTTTATTGGAAGGAATTGACAATTAATTCAAGGTCATTATTAAAGAGGTGATAAAACTGTGCATCAAATCTTGTCCAAGAAGTAAAATTTATCTTTTTAGCTTACCTGAACCAAAAGATCAATTTAGCTTTTGTTATCACCGGTGGTCCATTAATGTTTGCCCTAATATCCATTAGTCTGTCCATTTACTTTTTACATTTTTTACTTCTTCTCCAGAATCAGCAGACTAATTTCAGCCAAACTTGTTTCAAAACATCCTTGTATGAATGAAGTTCAATTTTGTTCAAATAAAGGGTCATACTCTCTTTCAAGAGAAGATAATCAAGAAAAGCCCCCCCCCCCCCCCAAAAAAAAATTGGGTGGGATCATTTGAAAATCTCTTCAAGAAAGAACCATGTACTCAGTAAAATAAAACTTATGTAAAAGCTTCCTAGCATTTTCTTCAAATCTTGGTCCAAGAGGGAGATTGGGGCCACATTAGGAAAATGACATGAGAATATATATATATATATATATATATATATATATATATATATATATATATATATATATATATATATATGAAAAAAGCTTTAAAAAATTTCTGGTAAAGAACAACAAAGCCTAGATTTATAGTAAAGTTCATATGCAAGCACCCTCAAGTAGTGCACATCAAAGTTCGTTCATCTCATCCTCCTCAGTTCTGGGAATACATATATATTATATAGGAAATTTCAAAAATGAAGAGCAAGGCCACACTAAATCATTTAATATGTAAATACTCTCCAAGTTGTGTGGGTTCAATTTTTAAATTATGGAACCTGGAGTTTGGTTAGGGATAAAATCAAGGATCAAATTTTGCGTAATGCATGTATACAGGGAAAAAAATATTTAAAAAGTCTTCTCCAGAATTACTCGGGGCATGAAGTCATTTTGATATTAAGGCATGATGTTGTTTGGGTTCAATTCTGGTTGAGCCATGGCTAGGGTGGGTGACACTTTTTTAGGAAATAAAGAGGGAATTTTTTTTTTTTTTTTTTAAATTTTTTATTTAAAAACAGCACAGCCACAGTGACTCAAGTTATTGTGGCCTATGGGCCTATTGTCATACATGTATTACTAATCATTACATGACATCAGGTACAATAAAATGTAAAACATTTGTCATGATGACTTGTTGATAAGGTCATAGTAGGATCTTACAGGGAATAATGGTAAATGGAATGAGCATCTAGTTCCAGTTCTACTCTCCGTACTGGAAATGAACTATATGGGATGGGTATCACCTAAAATTTCGCATCGTGATATATTACGATTTTTCCCCAGAATATCACGATAATATTGCGATATTTTTACACACAATTTTTACAATAAATTCTAATGAATTTGCATAATATTTCTTACAAAGATGCTATAAAAACATAAGTTCACTTTTTAAATTTTTCTTTTCATAATATAAAGCATGTTGAATGCCATTGTTTAACTCTTTTCAACAGTCTTTACACTTCCAGTAATTGTTATTTGATAGTTTGAACAAATAAATGAATAATTTCCGGAATTTATTATTATGTACCGAATACCGGTATTTTATTCTCCATATCGTGATACGTATCATGCAATAAAAAATCACGATATACATGTACCAGTATACTGATAAAATTTGTGCATCCCTAAAATTAACCTGATACATCAAGTGTTAATAAGTACTATATACAATGTAAATGAAGTATAGGGCACCACAGATTTATCAGAGAGATTTTCCTCACATTTCAGACACACCATTTTCACAAGTAATACTTCCTCCCTTCCAATTGGTGAAATAGCTGTAGCATCAAAACGCAAGGACAGGTTTGGGGGACTGCATTTCTTTAACCCTGTCCCCATGATGAAGCTTCTAGAGGTAAACACAACTTATACCCATGTATAAAATGAGATTGTTTAAAGATCTAATGAAAATAAGATTGAAATGCATCTAGCTATTCCATACACAGGATAGAACACATTTGATAAAAATGTCATTTCAGTGGCTCAAAGAGTATTCCATACAAGGATTTAGTCTTGATATTGATTACAGGTGGTCAGGATTCCAGCAACAAGTGATGCTACATTTGACAAGTTACTCGCATTTGGAAAAGATATGGGGAAGACTACAGTGTGCTGCAAGGTATGGACAGACATAAAGTATGGGCAGACTTACAGAGTTAAGACAGACTTAGAAAGTAAGTGCAGTCAAATAAAATATGGGCAGACATACTAAGAATGAACAGACTTATAATGTTTGGAGAAACTTGTAAAGTACGTGTGTATGTAAAGACTTAAAACGTATGGGCAGATATATATGGTATGGTCATACCAAGAATGGACAGACATAAAGTAATTGCAAACTTGTCAGGTATGGGCAGATTTATAAAATACGGGCAGACTTATAAAGTATGGACAGGCTTTTTAAGTATGTACAGACTTACCAAGTATGGGCAGAATTATAAAGGATGGACAGACATATAAGGTATGGACAGACTTTAAATACATGCACAGTGGACATTCTTTTTAGATACGTGTACAATAAGAATATGAAACATTCAGATCAGATTTAAGCTTAATTATGCAAATCTCAGTATCAAATGTGGAATTGGATACATTAATTCATATGGTCTACAAGAATTTACTACGAAGGCATTGTACTGAATTTGTTCACTTTTTGATTACCTTAACACAGTATATTTTGTTTTTAGGACACTCCAGGATTTATTGTTAATAGATTATTGGTGCCTTATATGCTGGAAGCAGTCAGAATGGTAGAAAGAGGTATAGGGACTCTTACACAACATAATTTATTACACATATGATTTTAAGCTCAGAACTTAATTGTTATGTTTTACTTAAAATATGTAAGTACAAGTGGATTTCTTTGATGTTTAGGAGATGCTTCCATAAAAGACATAGATACTGCGATGAAGCTTGGGGCCGGATATCCCATGGGGCCATTTGAACTATCCGATTATGTTGGCCTTGATACAATGAAATTCATATTGGATGGTAAAAATAAACTGTTCTTTGTCATTGCAATTCAAGAATACTTTTCATTGCTTGTAATTACCCCCGGTATATTAAAAATGATAAGATGAAACATATAATATAATGTAATTAATATTGTAACAATTTGTGTCAACTTGAGGATTTTATTTAAGGTTGGCATAAGAGTTTCCCAGACAATCCACTCTTCAAGCCCAGTCATTTATTGGATAAACTGGTAGCACAAGGAAAACTTGGAAACAAGACCGGTGAAGGATTTTACAAACATTAAACCTCAGAATGTGATGCTGACAACCTCGCACAAACAGTGATACTGACTGAGATGGGGGTTTAGAAAGTGCCATACATACATAGTGCTCATCAGTAAATGTGTGGTTTGAAGACAAAAGTCATTGTTGTTTGTCTCTAAGACTTAAAAGTGATATATCATCAAATGTTTTTCTTAAAATTAAAAGTTAAAATAATTTCAGTTGTTGTTTTGATTTTCATGTCAGAGTACAATGACCGTACTTTTGATATTTTGATTTTGCCAGAACAACTCCTGCAAGGATCATTATAAACCACTGTAATTCTTCAGCTGGCTCTACTATAGAACTGTCTTAGTTTTCCTCTGTTCTCAAGATCCTAGGTAAATATAGTTCCTATTACTGGTTACCAGAAATTTAAGATCCAGCATTACAGGACTGATGAAGAGGTTGTGCTTGTCTGTTTAGAGTTCAGTATGTCTGTTCAGAGTTCGGTATGTCTGTGTAGAGTTCAATATATGTAGATCTGCTGAATTATTATGTTTAGGTATGTTGAAGAGATAGTATGTATAGGTTTGTGAAGATTTCAATGCGTCTAGTTCTGTTGAAGAGTACAGTAGGTCTAGATTTGTTGAAGAGTTCAATGGGTCTAGTTCTGGTGAAGAGTTCAGTATGTATAGATCTGTTGAAGAGATCATTATATTTAAATATCTGTTGAAGAGGTCATTATTTGAAATCTATTAAATAAAGAGTTCAGTATGTATAGATCTAATAACGAGTTAAGTATGTACAGATCTTTTGAAGAGTTCAGTATGTATGGGTATTTTAAGAGATCAATACATTGATCAGTTAAAGAGTTCAGTTTGTAGATCTGTTGAAGATTTCAGTTTGTATATACATCAGTAAAAGAGGTTCAGTACATCTATGTATAGGTCTGTTGAAAGGTTCAGTATGTGCAGATCTTTTGAAGAGTTCAGTAAGTAAGGGTAAGTTGAAGAGTTCAGTATATAGATGCCTGAAGAAAAATTCAGTATGTATAGATCTAATGAAAAGTTCATTATGCACAGTAAATGAAGAGTTGAGTATGTTGAGGTATGTTTTAAAGGTTCAGTATGTATCTAATGAAGAGAGCAATATGTATAGATCTGTTGAAAAGTATAGTTGTATAGTTATTTGAAGAATTCAGTATGTGTAGGTATGTTGAAGAGTTGTGTATCTGAGCTTTTTGAAGAGTTTAGTACTTATAGATGTAATGAAGATATTCAGTATGTTTAGGTATATTTAAAAGTTTGGTATGTATAAACTATAAATATTGCCTGAAGAGATCAATATGTATAGGTATGTTGAAGAGTTCAGTATGTATAGGTCTATTGAAGAGGTATGTTGAAGAGTTCAGTATGTATAGATATAATGAATTTCATTCTGCAGTGTATCTAGTTTTATTGGAGAGTTCAGTATGTGTAGATCTGTAGATTTGATGGAGAGTTAAGTTGTATAATTATGCCTGTTGAAAAGTTCAGTTTGTCTGCAAGTAGATATGTTGAAGAACTTAGTAAATGTAGATCTAATGCAGAATTCGCATTATGGAAACTTGTATATGTAATTGATCTGCCCAGGAGGCCCAGTATGTTTGTTTACAATGACTCATCATCAGCCTGGGGCGCGTTTTACAAAAGAACTTACGACTAAGACCAAAAGGTTAAGTTGATTGTAAATTCTTGCAAAATGAACGATTCTGTGAAAAACTGCTTGCATAAAAATATCTTTCTTGATTCTTTATTTAGAAGATTAAAGCCATTTCAAATAAATGTAAATTGGAAAGATATTCACTAAATTACATTTTGGTCTTAGTCGTAAGTTCTTTTGTAAAACGGGGTCCTGGTTAACAAGTGGAATCAGTGAGCAATTGCATGATCTTCTTTACCAGAATAATACCATTATACATATTTTAGTGGAAAACAGAATATGAGCTGACGTATTTTCCCTCATGGATTAAGTAGTATAATAGTTATACTAGTACATTCATTTCGTTAGAAGGGACTCTGAACCAAAAATTACAAAACAAACCACTCTCTAGATAAATTGGTAGAATATGGGGATTTTTTCGAACCCCGCCAGATTCCTAAATGTTATAATGTCTCTATTCACACGAAAAAGCTGAAGATAGAGAAGAGTGATCAATCTCAAAAAATCTACAAACGACTCAAATCTGTGAACAGGGTATAAAACATAAAAAAATATATATACAAATGTTTAATTTTTAAATTCCTTAAAATGTTTATCCTCTACTTTCCTTTTTTTTTATTTTTCATAAACATGGTCAGCTAAGTGACTACCAAATTGTTTCATCGACATTGTTCTTTTGGGTCTAAAAGTTGCTTGTGATTTGACCTTGTACTACAACAGGCGCTGCCTTCAAAGTTACCATTTACATGTCGGTCCAATCACAATAAAAAAAATACGACACTTTGAATTGTAATGCGGTAAAACAAATTTTTTTAAATTTTGTATGAAGCTTTAAACTTTTTACTCCTTGTCAAAATTATGTTTGATCATTTCTTTTAATTTAGTAGGCAGTCTTCAAGAGATAAAAATCACCATAATCGTGAATGGTCAATATGATGAAACACAATGTACGTTGTGTCTTGACTTTATATTGGATGATGTGTACAAATGTAATAGATGTCCAGTATGACGCATTGACTAGAAAACATTTCAGATGATACACCCCTGGGATTTGATATAAAAATACACCTGATGAATGATCAATGATTTATGAATAGGTATGTTGAAGAGTTCAGTATGTATATATCTATTGAAGAGTTCTGTATACATAGGTCTGTTGAAGAGTTCATTATGTAAAGGCTTCAGTATGTATATGTGGGAGGGTTTGGTATGGATTATAGGTGTGTTGAAGAGTTCAGTATATATAGGTCTGTTGAAGAATTCATCATCATTCACTGAAGTATTTATATGTTGAAGAGTTCAGTATGTACATTGAAGAGTTCAGTATATATAGGTAGGTTGGTGAGTTCAGTATGAAAAGGTATTAGAGAACTTCAATAAGTAGATATGTACAGAACAGTTCAGTATGTATATGTATTATTATTGAGTTCAGTATGTATAGAACTGTTGAAGAGCAATATGTTTAGGTTTTTTCAAGAGTTCATTATGTATAGGTATGTTTAAGAGTTCAGTATGTATAGGTATGTTTAAGAGTTCAGTATGTATAGGTATGTTTAAGAGTTCATTATGTATAGGTATGTTTAAGAGTTCAGTATGTATAGGTATGTTGAAGAGTTCAGTATGCATAAGTCTGTTGAAAGGTTAAATTAATTAAAGAGTTTAGTATGAATGCAAAGGTAAGTTAAAAGGTTGAATTAAAAAGTTCAGTATGAATGCATAGGTATGTCGAAGACATATGTACTATATGAAGTAGACATATAAAATGAAAAAGAAAACATTTCAAATGAAATATAAATACATTTAATTTATAATATGTTTCTTGATTTTAACCATCCGTCTTTGCCACCTAAAAGTTCAACATCGTAATTTAATTTTGTAGGAAATGATGACGCCAGGCTTTTAATAATACTGTTTTCTATGTGATTTTGAAGTTCTCTGGGAACATACCCATCACGTGAGGATCGACAAAGAGTTATCATAGACGGTACAAGACGGGGCTTTAATGCAGCAAATATGTCTTGTAGGTCCTCGGTGCGTTGGTTTATTTCTAATAACGTAGTTGTATGTTCGATGACCATGGAGTTATTTGGAGAGTTTGCTCCCATACACAAATAGAATTCCGATGATTTCGTCACATCTAATCCTCGTGATTTTATTGTTGTAAAACAAAATCCAACATATTTAATAGCCAATATCTGCGCCTTTGCCATCCCCATGATAAGGTGTACAAGCATTTTAAGCTGTTTCTCTTTATTCCAGCCCTTGTAAAAACTCTTATCGCACATCAAATGTTCCTTCTTATTGTTAAGTATATGTAGGCATTTATCACGAATTGATGCCTCTTTATTCTGACAAGCCCCGCCTCCCTGTATTTCTTTTCCAAAACAACCAGAAGACATGATGTCATCTAGCAGCTCTGTGAGAACCCTATCTGCTTCTGTTTCTTCCTTTGCGTTGTTTGGACAAAATGTGCCACTGACAATGTCATTAATGGACTCCAATTCCTTCTCTGTGAGGCCAGCGTTAAGCAGAGGCCGTGAAGCATATGTGCAGGCAAAAAAGTCCTCGTCGATATCAAGAATGACTCCATTTTCTTTATATTTATTTGCTTCCCGCCTAAAAATGTCTGCCGCCAGATCCTCTCTTACTTCTTCGTACGAAAACGTTATTTCTGTTCTACATGTCTTGGGATCTATTTCAACTCCCTCATCAAAGTCGTCGTCATCTTCCAAAGATGTCGGTAGACGCCGACAATCGACCTTCTTATCACTTTTAGTTGACGTTCGGTTGCTATTTAAACTTTGGTAACAGACACAGAGGGCCTTACGCTTCATTTTTGGGATTGAAGTATCTACCATTAACCATCCTATCTTCGCAAGGTATACGTCATGTGAACTGTTTTCGTGGTTTTCCTGATCCCATCGCGGCCACACCCACACCACCTTACTAAACATGCCAGATAGGACTGCCGACTGAAACAGAATAGAAATATACATTTATCAATACATAGGGCTCGTGTACGGTCGACAGGGGATGCTTACTCCTCCTAGGCACCTGATTCCACCTCTATAATCTCCAGAGGTCTGTATTTTATGCTCTGTTCACTAGTTTGTATAACCTGATTCCACCTCTATAATTTCAGAGGTCTGAATTTTATGCTCTGTTCACTAATTTGTATTGTTTGTACATTATTGAGAACGATCACTGTTCATTATCTTCACCTTAAAAAAAAAACATATTTTAAAAACCTTTATCCTTTAATTTAAACTCACGACAGGTTTTTGGACTTTACTGCAGGTCTGTAGTACTCGGGGGTGGGGGTGGAGTGGGGGCGGCCCCACCCCTTTTTCTGAGAGTAGTCTTTTGTTAGTAGTTTTGATATGTGAATTTTAATTTGGATGGTGCTTGCCCCCCTCTTTGTTGCTGTACGGTCAATCATACGTACATGTAAATTCCAGAAAATTAGAGATCCCCCCCCCCCCCGAAATAGGATTATAGAGTTTGGACAGTTTGCTACGGGCCTGTACTGCATATGAAACGTGGCCACCAACGCAGGGAACGGCTTTGTTAGATTTGATACTCGGGTTGTTCTTTAATTAAATGTAGAACCAGTGGATCTATGTATGTACATGAATTTATAAAGATATGTTATTATTCTTTATAAATTTTATTCATGGTGACAGATGATATTGACATTTGTGTAAAATTCAGACACTGGCTGCGCATATTTAAAAAAAAAACGGGATTATAAATTCCTTACCAAGATGAACATGTCGTTTTCTTGCATGTAGTAATCTAATTCTTTTCTATTCTTTGGCCATCGAAGAAACGGAAGTTTCCTGAAATACTGCGGCAGTGCCATGTCACTGTGTCCGTCAATGTGGATCTAGTCACACACAAAATAAATAAATAATTAAAAAGTTTATCAATAATGTTTAATGTATTGTATTGACAAATTAAGGCCCTGTGACTGGATAAACATCCTGATCATATGTTACACTGACTGGATAAAATAACTAGAACACGTGCTATAGGGGGATTCATTGCGATTGAACCCATACTTATTTATTTGCCTTATCAATTACAATGAATCTAAAATCTATGGCGTTAAATATATGACTTACAACACACATGTTAACAAACTAGATTGTATTCCGTAAATGAAAACCCCAGTCCGGTCTCGATAATAAAGTAGCATACACGTTTACAATCTTTTTTTTTTTTAATTATAACGATAACAATGTTAAGTTTTTACGATTATGTATTTATGAATATCTTTTTATTGAATACTTATATCAGGTATTAATTTCTCTCGGAAAGACTATAAGTAAATAAGTATATAGTAATTGATTATATTTAAGTGACACGTGCCTAATATTACAAATAAAATAACACAATTACAGTTGTATGCAAGATGAGACACATAAAAATGTATAGACTTTATCTATTTCCACAATTTAAAATATTTCTAGGGAATGTCTTATTTTAAACAAATGACATATGATGGAAAATCGAATCATCTGCTCTCTGTTAAATAGGGGAAAGTACATGTACATGACCCCCCAAAAAAATTAAAAAGAAGAGTTTTTAAATTAATCTTAGCTTTTACTTGCCAGAGTTAAGCCTTTTTTCTCTTTTAAATTTCCAGCGCTGTTCCCGAACCAATACGGAATAACTAAAAACGAAATGTATACTTTATTACAAACTATTTGTTCTTTAGAAAATGAATAAACCGACACGGGGATCATGAAACAAGCAGACTGTCAACTAAAATTCCAAATCCATAATTAACAGCAGTTAATAACAACTAAGATTCAAATTAAAAATAATCATTAACAGCGATACGGTGATGTTTTAATTTAGACTGCTTGAGAATTACATAATGAGGAATACACAGCTTTTGACGTAGGTCTAAGATGTAAATTAGACAATCCCCAGATTGAAATGACAGGTAAAAACGTATATACTACCTTCATGGTGTTCTTCTACAACGAAAACATCAATGCTTGACGATTTTTCTTCTATAAGATTTCCAGATAATATTTCTCGGTTGTTTGGAGAATTATTGACATAAATTGTTAATAAAATCATCACGGTTAATATACAAGAAATGCACAGATATGAAACACATCTTAATTTAAATCCCAAACAAACTCGTCTTGACATTGCTATGACGTTGTGTACTTGTGGCAGAGGAGGGAAAAGTGCTCAGGGAATGTGGTCATTCTTTCGCACTTTTAAAAAATCAGTTAAAATATACGCAAATAGAGTGTTTATCAGTATTTATTTTACGCAACAGTGAATCTAAATTCCGATATAACAGATATTTCGTAGCGGGTTTTTTTTTATCACTATCAATTATCTTATCTATTGGATTTTTGTACATGTATTTAATTATTTATTTTGTTCTTTACATGTATCAAACGAGGGAAGGAGGGGGGGGGGGGGTAATTACATGTACTTAATAAATAATACCTCACTTTTCGATTACTTCATTTATTATATCTCATTAGCGGTTCCAAACGTCCCAGTCCCTTTTTCAGAAACAATGAAACAGATAGGGAGGAGAGAGATATTTTATTTAGAGCATCGTCGAAATATACTTGATATATTTTGCACTGGCGGATTTAGAGGGGTGCCACCACCCCCCCCCCCCTTTTCTAACCAAAATATACATAAGATTAATAAAGAATTTTTTGTGTGGAATATTGCATTAATTTTACCTGAAATAAAGGTAAAATTGTTTTTAAAAAATTGTTCAAAAACTCCTTAAACCTGAGAGCCTTCTGAGGGCTTCACCCCTAGAGGGGCTTGTCTTCCAGATTGTTAAATGTAAAATAAATTCATAAAATTTTGAATCTACTTTAAATACACTTCAAAAAGTTGTTACAATAAAGATTCTGACATTTTCAGACAAGAAATACCATGTTTAAAAGAAGTACCACACCTATATACATAAACTCTACAAGGGACGAAAGCTCTCATCTTGGAAAAAATACCCCACCCACTTCAGCACCTATTTCTGGACTCTAAAGCATTAATTTATTTTGTTGTCGTGGCTCTATCTCCTATAGTGATTATTTTCCTTAAATGTTGATGTGTCTGTTAGTCCTCAATACGCGTTCAATCAACATAAAACGGATTCAATTTCTTCGATTTGGAAGAAATCTTGTAACAACTTTTGAAGTGTATTTAAAGTAGATTCAAAATTTAATGATTGCAATTTATTTTACATTTAGCAATCCGGAAGACAATCCCTTTTCAAGAATCCTGGATCCGCCACTGTTTTGTATTTTTATTTTCTTCGTTGGGCTTTTGAACATTGTGAAATGTTGACGACGTTGGAATTTTAATATTTGTTATTTAATAAAATTTTATTCCAAAGATCAATTCTCCAGTCTGGGTCAAAGACTTTCTCAAAATATATGAAAACACAGTACAATTTCTTTTTATATGATTTAAAAAATTCAATTAGAGTGTATAATAAAAAAAATATGATCCATAAGAGAGAAGTCTTTTTGAAAACCAGCTTGGTTCTCTAAGATAAGTTGGGCTCTGTCAGCATACATGTAATTATTTAGTCTCTCGTTAAAAATGGTAGTAAACAATTTTCCCAAACAACTTATTAATGTAATTGGTCTGACAGATTCCAAACAAACAGCCCATCGTTAATTATGAGCAGCAATCAATGGCCGCTTTTAGGTAATAGGTACATGCGTACACCTGTTTCATCCCGTAAACTTCTACCCAACTGATGGTATAACAGATTTTTGAGACAAAATCAAGAAATTAACAAACATTTCATAATAAAACCCAGCTTATGAAGATGTCTGACTGTTTGAGAATAAATTACAATAAATATTCGTATATACAAATGAAATCAGATCTGTATCACGGAAAGGTGATTCTTTTGAAAACATAACTTACATGTATATGTTTGCATACGATGTTTATATATATGGATTCACAGAATAGAAGAAAATCCTGTAAAATAAGTATACCTTTAAAAAAGTCTTTGCCAATTAGTCTTTGTTTCTAATATTTATGCATTGAATTGAAGAACATATTTTATTGACAAAGAGTCAAAAGGATTAGACACAAAGTTCAAAAACTTAGATAGTCTTCTCCTAATACAACATTTTGTAAAATTGCCAAAATAAAATACATGTATATATATGGGCTACTTAATTCATATGCATAGTAGTAATAGAAAGAAAATAAGATCTTTAAATGTACATGCAAATATAGATTTACAATGGTAAAAAATTAAGCTTTTTTTTTTTATAACGCCCACACTCATTTACAAAAGTTTGAATAATCTTAAAAAGTTCAGCTTTTTGTTCAATAGTAAGAGAATCATCACCTCATAGCATTAAATGTACATCTATAACATATAAATTATTAAATGACAGTAGCTTATTCATTAAGGAATTCCTTGCATTTGCATAATTTTTACAAGCAAAAAACAAATGGTATGCATCTTCTAGTAGTCCACATGAACAATTTGGACTAGTTGTTAAGTTACAACGATATAAGTCAGAGTTTAAAATACAATGGTGTCTCAATCTTGTTTGAATTATGTTCAAGAACCTTTTTCCATATGAAAAATATTTCTGAGGTTTTACAGTAATGTTGTGCTTATATTTATAACAAGGACACTTTGACACTTTGAAAATAAATTATCGTTCAAACACGTTTACAATGTATGGACGTACTAAAATACAGTTTTGTGTAAAGAGCACAAAAATTCTCTGCGTCGAAGGTAAATATTCTTCACCTCTTTTTTTTCTGGTGTTCTATATATGGGGGGGGGGGGGGGGGATATAAATATTACCATACGTTACTAAAATGTAAATATCAATAATTCAACAGTGACGTTATTGAAAAAAGTAGAAAACTGTTCCTTCCTGTTTACTATTTTTTCCTAAATATGCTACAAGTAATCCAAGATGAGGTCAAATTTTCATGTCATTTTCGAAAATTAAGTTACACAACTACATGTTTTTACTGATTATAGTACAATTTAGAAGAAATGTGCCATCATTTAATTTAATTCATACACACCTGATATAACAGGTGTGAAAAAAATAACACGCGCTGTTCAGAGAATAAATATCCTAATTGCTTGCAAAATTGATATTCCTCTGTAATTGATAAAACATGTGTCAATTGCTTATTAATGATTAGGATACCTGTGTTATGATAACTAATTAAACTCACAAATGCAAGCCCAAGTTTTGTTCTTAAGCCACGCCCATGCACTGACCCTATTGGTCTGTTTCATTGTAAAAAGAATTCTAATTATATATATAATAGACATCAACTTTCTTCATTTCAATGGTCACAAGAATGAATTCCAAGGAAATCTTTGAGCCTCTCTATGTAGATACAACTCTTGAATATACAATCAACTATGACTTGTTTCCTGGTTTTGAAAACAACGAACCCATGTTGGTCATCCACAATAGTGACAAATGTCCCTGTGATGATCCGGGAACTACTGCAGCCTCCCCCGTAGACGAGAAGGATCTGGTCTCCTATATTGACTCTCTTGAGGAAATTTCCAACGACTTCGACTCTTTTCAACAGATTCCCAGTCCATCTACTTCGTGTGAGGGATCTGTCGGTCTTGGCTTCAATCTGGATCATTATTGTGACTTCAGTGCTTGCTCTTCTACGGAGAACAACATTGAATCTTTAATTGAAGAAATTATTGCTTCCTCTCGTGCCAAAACAGAAGAAGAGAAAAACAAGAAAAACAGAAAGAGAAAGTTGTCTTCCAATGAGAGCTCTGAGTGCAAGCGATCAAGGATTGAGTGGCTGTGTTCGATCGACTTTCTGGAAGAAGGCTTTGACTTTAGATGGTGAATAACTGTGTTAGTTTTCTGTGAATAACTGTGATAGAGAACACAGCGACAGTGCTATAACTTTATTTTTTTCTCTTCGGAGTTTTATATTTCTATACAAATGAGACAGTGCTATTAAAATGATGAAAAAAACCCTGCTCACTTTGTTTCTCATTCTGAATTATGATATAGTTAATACGAATGTATGTATGTTGATGGGCGACATGTATATAATAAATATAATATTTCGATGAAAAATTGATGATATAAAGTGAAAGCTTGAAAATATTGCAGATAACTTGAAATATAATTTTTATTCGAATCGAATCAGCTGATGACCGACTTACTAATAAAATGGCCGCTTCCATGAGAAAACGTGAGAGGAAAATTATTACTGGAGTATATTAGCGAATTAGCACTTATAAAAGTCTTACAAGAATATATTAGGGCTGCAACGACTCAGGTACCTTACTGTCAATTCAATTTTGAATTCTTAGGCCGGAATTCGATGATTTTCGATTCTATTTAACACTAACAGTTATCAAAATGCAATAAAGAAATAGAGCTTCATTGTAAATTCTGTTTGTAAATTTTAAAAGATTAGATATTTATTTGAAATAATTCTGGATAATTACAAGAGAACATATTGTCATTTCTTTTAATTGGGAAACTGCCTCTCTAAACATTTAATGTTATATTTTTAAGCACAACTTGCTCAGTATGTTTAATTGTTTAGTGCAAATTTATTTTTTCTCATAATTGATAATATAGAATGTTCTATCGTTAAAATGATCAATCTCCTATGGATCCATTTTTTGATGAGGGTCTGTCCTGAGACACAGTTAGATTATTCTAACTAATAATTGATCAAAGTCTTTGTCTGCAATTGTAGGACTACAAATGTATCTCTTTTATGATCAGGGGCTGACAAATCTCATTGCCCGACGCCCAGGACTAGTGAATTTTATAGGCGGGCAAGTGAATTTTTAATAGGTACTTGTCTGTTGGCAAGTGACTTGAAAAAAATAAATCAATAAATATTTTTAAAAATGCTTTAGTTTTACTTGCACTAGAGACGTCTCTGCTTGCATGAAATCGAAATTACTGTATGTGTACATAAATTAGCGGATTCAAAATTTAGCGCAATTACTGGGTATGGAGTTGTTGGCAAAATCATGATTAGCGCTACACATGACCGTGTCATATATTGTATTTACAAATGATTTCTTAGTGGTATTCATGAATTAGCGCATCGTTGTCTGTGCCAAAGCCACTAAAATATGAAGCCCGCTTTTTTAAGTACACATACAGTATTTTGTCGTAAGTGTTATCTTCTTTTGCTTGTCATACTTCGTACGTGAACCAGTTTAATTGTGTCATCATGTATCTTTACAAGTTTTAACGAAAGTTTTAGGTATATGTATTTGTACATAATCAAAAATGACAAATTGGCATTGGAGAAGTGGAGAAAGTTTTGACAGTTATGAGGCAGAAAATGATCAAAAGCAAATGATAAATACATCATCCATAAGTTAAACAATTTTAGCGGAAGAGCCGTCTATTATTATAGTTTACAGTGGGGCAAGTAAAAATTGAAGTAGGGCAAGTGAAATTTGACCATGCACTTGCCCGTGAGCAATTGCTTGAAAAATCTATTTGTCAGCCCCTGTCATGCCTCTCTGTTGGCCCTTGATTGGAAATAAACTTTCCGTTATTTTCAATTTATTTAAACTTTAAACATTTTGCTCCATTGTAGAGATGTTTAATGATTTGTCAGTTTTTACTCTGGGATTTCTCTGAATCTATAGCCCCCACTTTTGTGGACTATTTATGTGGAATCTCTGTAATACAAATACTTATCGAAAAATTTATGTACTATAAATATATATACATTCACTTTTGCAAATGTTTTCCCATATTTAATGTTAATTCAACAAGCATTCTGAGAGTATTGCATTAGCAATACTAGTCCCCTACCGGCAAGTGAAATCTGGTTCCCTTTAAGAATTGAAAATGCCATAATTCCGTCAAAAATCAATGAAGCGGGACGAAATGCAAACTTGGTTTATAACTAACCAAGGTAAAGTCACGTACCAAAAATCAGCTCAATATCTGAAAGCGTTTAGAAGAAAATTGCGGAAAACCCCTAAAAATTGAAAAGGTTGTAATTCCGTCAAAAATCAATGAAGTGGAACGAAATGCAAACTTGATCTGTAACTCATCAAGATACACTCACATACCAAAAATCAGCTCAATATCTGCAAGCGTTTAGGAAAAAAGTACGGAAAACCAAGTGGGACAGACTGACAGACAGACAGAGGGACAGACAGACAGATGGATGGACAGACAGACAGACAGACAGATGGACAGACGGATGGACAGACTCAGAGGAAACCTATAGTCCCCTCCGGTTTCACCGGTAGGGGACTAACAAGGCATATTTAATTTTGTGTTTAAACAGGTGCATCACCTGACCATGAATTCATTGTTTAGTCATAATTGATTAATTTAATAGTGACTTCAAAAGTGGTTGATATGTTCAACACATTCAATTTAAACTATTGAGGTTTGAAAAAAATGAATCATTTCATGGGTTTCAACCTATATTACAAATTATTTCCATTTCTAATTGTTTTCTCTGTGATAAATCTTTGAAAGTAAGGTGAGTTGATTTCTTGATAATTCAACTGGAATGTAAATTGCACCAGGTGAAAGGTCAGGAGCCTTATATGCATGTCAATCTTGTGCGGCTGTGTTTGTGTCTGACGTCAGTGGGTGAGGACTATTGAAATTAACATGTGAGGCCTTGTGTATTTTTTAAAATTTATATTTATAATTTTATTTCACATATAAATGTGAATATAAGGAATCACGGTCTAGTTTGTTGGGTATGCCAAGGACATCGATAGTTGGAAACGTGGAATAATTTATGCATATGCAAATTATCCCACATTTCCAACTGTCCTTGTTGCCCTGGCACACCCAACAAACTAGACAGTGATTCCATAAATATTTGTTGTAAATCAGTCACAAATGTAAATATAAGTAATACGCTATCATTTTTTGGGATGAACATATCATTGTCATATCAAGTTGGTATGAGATCAAATCTACCATAACATCCTTCAGGCTTTATGGAATTTAAACACATGACCAACCCATATTTACATTCCTATAAAAGTTTCTTATATATTTCTTTTATATATATATATATATATATATATATATATATATATTAAATTTCATTCAACAACAGTTTTATTATATTTTTTCCGGAATACTTACTCTAAACAATTTACAATTTACTTTTGTTATCAAAATGGTGAACTATGATCTTTTTGATTGTGATGCTTTAATTTTGAGTCCTACATGTATGTGGGAGTATACATGCATTAAGAAAATAAAAGCTGAGATATGCAAGGGAAATAATCTGGGGGTATCTGAAATTTTTACACAGATAGTATAAAGAATGTAAGAACCTGTGGACTGTCTTTGCAAAAATTACGTGTAAACATGTCAATCTTGGACGCAAATAACTATGACTACTAATTCAGTAGGGAACTATGCAACCAATGGATAGCAAACATTCTCTAACATTAAATGATCAGAACCAAGATAGGGTATTTTGGTTTAACTGGGATGAATAAAATACATGTCCATCCAGTTTACTTCCATTTTTTAGAGAAATGGACAGCAATGCAATATATCACAATATTTATCGCAATATGCCAACCAAATATTGCAGTATATTGCAATATAATTATTTCTGGCAATACCCACCCCTAAGTTAAATCTTAAAACATGTGACAGCAAGTCAGGAGTAAGAAAGGGTGTATCAGTCTAAATTTTTTTTATTGAATTCTTCCTTTTGAATAAGTACATGTTATAAAAACAGGATAAAATACTATTTCAATCATGAAGAATTATAACTACTCTTGTTATGATTGTTCATGTGGAAACACAACAATGATAAAATTTCTTTTAATTAAATAATATTTTGTATTGATTTTAGGTGTGGTGTGATACTTCATTCTGTTCTGATGAAGACTTGCTGATTTACTTGTAAAACAAATTACAAAAATGGAGGAAGATTCCAGTCAGAAGAAACACAGAAAGCGACAGGCGGGTCCCAAGGCTGTAAAGAAAAAAGCCAAGAATAAACACCAGCAGAATTTAACTCCCCAACAGAGAAACCCCAAAGCCTTCTCTATTCAACATGCTCAGAAAACGGCCAGACTTATTAAGAGGTACGTACTGATTTCAGCCTTGTCATTGTTGACTTTTATCAGCGGCATATTTCTGTCCATTTTAACAGATGGATTGTTAGAAAATAAGACAATGAGATACTTGATTCAAGAATAGAGATACAACTAAGCTTTCATTGTAAATAACTTATAAAAAATCTTCATTGATTGTTAAGGCATATACTCTGAAGAAATCAACAGAATATAGAAGTGTTCAAATGGATACCTTTTTGAACTAAATTTATTTTTGTAAAGCTGTTATATTATCACATGACTTTAATATCAATTGAAATAACACAGTATATCCCATTCTGTATTGAATTTAGTTTGGTCACCTGATTTGATAGTCATGAATGCATATAATGTGTTCAGCTAAACAAATTTCAATATAGCAAGGCCATATCCTAATTCATATTTAAAAAAATACGTTTTTGAATATCTTGTAGTAGTTTCTGGAAAGTGATGCTGCCTTAAATAGAACTTGCATTTTATTATTTTGAATTTGAAGTTATAGGGCTCAAGTTGAAATATGTGTGACCTTTACCAAGTATTTTATTTATTTATTAAATAATGCTCTTGATTTAATGAAAGCAGCAGCATGTTTTATATACATTAAAAAAATGATCATGATCTAGTAAGTGTAGGTTCTTAACAAGGCACCTTGAAGAGAAACATACCAACCCTGTACACAAAAATAATATGGTAGAATAAATCCAATACCTTCTCTCAATAATAATTAATTAGTGGCAATAAACAAAAGTTACGCTTTGATGTTAATGGTCTTTTAAACATCTGTATATAATTTTTTTTTTTAATAGTAAAATGCATTTTCACTGTGAAAAAATTACCTGCCTCTCACTGCACATAAAATGCATTAAATTTTACCTTGATAATGTTATGTCAACAAGCGCATTGTGATCAGTGACTTATTCTTGCTGTATGGATTAAAATTTAAATAGTGACAAAAATGAATGCAGTGGTAAGTTTTGATGTAGTTTAGTTAATACTTTTATAAAGTTTTAAATCACAATTTTTTTAATTTTCTGGTATCATGAGGAATTGTTATTTTTGTAAGATAAGGTATCATTTTTAAACATTTATTAGGATATAATTACAGTTTGGTCACATGATCAAATCCCATAAAGCCCGAAGGGCAACTTGAAACTACGTTGAGCATATATGACTTAACAATAAATATGTGATCATGTGATAACAATAAATATGTGATCATGTGTACAGTATTATGGAAATCTTAAATTTTCACAAAAATATGAATCACATTACAGAACACAGGATATACAAACAAAGAAGCAGCACATTCCTGTGGTAGACAGGACACCACTGGAACCGCCGCCAATAGTGGTGGCCATCGTGGGCCCTCCTAAAGTGGGCAAGTCTACCCTGCTACAGTGCATTGTCAAAAACTTCACCAAACAGAGGCTGGCTAATGTCCAGGGACCGGTCACTGTTGTGTCTGGTAACTGTTTCTGATACTTAACATTTAACAGCTATAAAACATTGAGGATGTAATAAAATATTACTATTACAGTTAAAATTAAAAGAAGTGATTTTATGTTCTATAGAGGACTTTAAACTAGATCTGATAGAAAATGACTTGTATTCATTTGGAACATTCATTCTACAAACGATAAAACCTTCCATTAATGTATGTCATTGATTTCTTCAGGTAAGAGTAGACGACTGACTCTGATGGAATGTAATAATGATATCAACAGCATGATTGACCTGGCCAAAGTCGCAGATCTCGTAAGTGGGACAGATTTATTCAAAGAAATACATAACAAAGAACTCTGTGCACCCCAAAAGAGAATTCAGTAGCATTTCATTTTTAGTCCTACATGTAGTAAGTATAATTTTTCCTGTTGGGTTTCTACCTATAGGTATTACTGCTGGTTGATGCTAGTTTTGGTTTTGAAATGGAGACTTTTGAGTTCCTGAACATATGCCAAGTGCATGGCTTTCCTCGGATCATGGGGGTATTGACTCATCTCGATGCTTTCAAGGATAATAAGCAAATGAGGAAAACCAAAAAAAGATTGAAACATAGATTTTGGACTGAAGTTTACCAGGTAACATTGCAGTACAGATTGACTGGAGATCAAGTCTGTTATGTTTGCTCTTTGTTAAATGGTACACTGTTCAAGAAATCAGGCATAACTATTGTAGTTCCAGTGCAAAATGATTCATATGTTGTACTTAATGATAATTATCTTTTGTAGGGGGCCAAACTGTTCTATCTGTCAGGAATGGTTAACGAGGAATACCAGAAGACAGAAGTTCACAATCTGTGTCGCTTCATCTCGGTGATGAAGTTCCGCCCTCTACAGTGGAGACTTACTCATCCTTATGTCCTCGTTGACAGGTGCTCCTTTATTTCATATTACATGTGATGATAAAATACTGTTGATTAAGGTAGTTATTGGTGCTCCTTAGCTCTGAATGCAATGTGATTATAAAATATCGTTGATTGAGACAGTTTTAGGTGCTACAGTGGGATGATTAAGTACTGTTGAATGAGGCATTTTGGTGTCATTTGTTTTCTTGAATTGATTGAATACTGTGTGACAAATTTATGTAAAATAAGTACTTAGATACATTTATTTATGAAATATAAAGTTCTTTTGTGCCCCATATGTTAATGTAGAATGGAAGACATTACTGACCCTGAAGCAATTCGACAGAAACCAAAGTGTGACAGGAAGTTGTCTATGTACGGCTACGTTCGAGGGACTCACATAAAGAACCATTCTATGATCCACATACCAGGCAAGTGTCCTCACGAAAAGGTTAAAACAAGCAATTAAAGACCAATTCTATTGGGATATGTAACAATTGGGGAAACTAGTTACTAACATTTCACTCCCTTCTCTCATAAACTGTATGGATTTTACAGTGAAACATGTCTGCAGTATTCAAATAAAATCTGTCATAATAAAGTCAAATTTGTAAACAAATAGTGCACTATACAGTACTTAGTACTAATCAGAGGTAATAAGTACTTAATAGTACTTATCAGAGGTACACTGTACTTCATACCAATCAGAGGTACATAGTACTTAGTACTAATCAGAGGGATATAGTACTTAGAACTAATCAAAGTACTATATCCCTCTGATTAGTACTTGTACTAAGTACTGTGTATGTCTGATTAGTACTAAGTACTGTGTACCTCCGATTAGTACTATTAAGTACTTATTACCTCTGATTAGTACTTAGTACAGTGTACGTCTGATTAGTACTAAGTATTGTTCACTTCCATTAATCATTAGGTTGTGGTGACTACTCTATCAGCGACATGCAGAGTTTACCTGACCCCTGCCCAATGCCAGACAAAGAGAAGAAAAGAACACTCCATGTCAAGGAGAAATTGATCTATGCTCCGATGTCCGGGGTGGGAGGAGTTATATACGACAAAGATGCTGTGTACATAGACCTGGGTGGAAGTCACTCTCTCAAACAGAATGAAGAGGTACTAAAGAGGGGGAACAGATCTATAATATTCTGAATTCATGTTAAGAGAGGTGGCTTTCTTGAAAGTAAGGGGACATTAAATCTCATTTGTCTGTCAGTCTGTCTATCAGTAAGTCTAGCTGTACGTCTGTCAGTCTGTCACAAAAACTTTAATTTTGGTCATAACTTTTGAATGAGAAAAGATTGGGCTTTCATAATTTATTAGACTTGTATATTACCTGTGATGAGACCTTTTTGAACATACAATGATTTTTAACCCTGTGACCTTGACGTTTGACCTACTTTTCAAAAAAAATTATCATTGCTAATAACTTTTGATTGAGAAAAGATAGGATTTTCATATTTGACATATGCATTACCTTGACAAGATGTTTCTGAGCATGCTATGTTTTTTGACTCCTTGACCTTGACCTTCATGTTTGACCTAATTTTCAAAAATTTAACTTGCTGATTACATTTGAATGAGGTACAATAAGGCGTTCATATCTGACAAGTGCATTACCTGTGTCAAAATGTTTCTGAAATGTGCAATGATATTGGACCCCGAGACCTTGACCTTCAAGTTTGACCTAATTTCGAACATTTTATCAGTGTTGCTATTTTTTGGAGGAGTGAAGATAGGGCATTCATATTTGCCACCAGCATTACCTGTGACAAGCATTTCAAAATTGATTATTAATTTTTAACCCCATGACCTTGAAGTTTGACCTAATTAAAAAAAATAATAAACATTGGTGATAACTTTTGATTGAGAGAAAATATAGCATTTGCATTTATATGTGCATTACCTTTTCCAACACCTTTCCGATTGTACATGTTACTCTGGTTTTTGATATTTTTTCACATGTGCATTACTTGTGACAAGACCTTTCGCATTGTGTTATGATATTTGACCTCCTGACCTTCATCTTAAAGTTTGATGTAGTTTTGAGAAGCTATAATCTTTGCCATAACTGTTATTAATTCAATAATTTATATCTTTTTTGTATAATGTACAGACAAGACAGGACACACAAACAAAACAGTTACAATGTGCCATAAATAATGGCATCCCATCCACTAAGACACCGAAAGCAGGGGACCACAGGTCTTGGAATTTGCTTGTTAGTTTTAACATTTGATTTTTTTTTTTTTTTACAAAATTAACCATCTAGAGATTGAAATACAGGTACCTGAGAAAACTCCGTTAAGTGGACTAGCAAAAAAAAATCCTAGAGAAGATTTAGAGTCCAAGAAAGGTTTTGACAGAAGATTTTTAATATAGTGTTCCAGAATTTTTTTTGTTAGATGCAAGAGGTATATTATATATGTGGACTCTGCAATACTGTAAGTTGGGTTAGTTTTGCCGAATGATATTTTTACCCTTTCACACTTGCCTTAAATTTTGCTGGTTTTAAATTTATATACCCAGACACAGAAGTGTTAAACAGATAAGGCTGTCTTCTTTTAATTTGCCTCATTCTGAATTCACCCACTTGCAGCAAGGGGAGAAAGGGGCAAAAATTTCACAGTATACAGTATGTTTTCACATTTTATAGGGATTTCTTAGATATTCTAGATATTTATCTTGAAATTTAGTGCAATTAATGAAGGTCAACGTAGTCAATCATAATTTTACATACGTACATACCTGTAGTATAATATGTACTGGCAGAGACTGAGAATTTTGGTGTCCCCTGTAAATGTATCTGTATAACAAGGTTTCTCATCCCACTTTAAGGTTGTGTTCTTGATTTGTTGGCAGAAGCTATATAATGATTCTGTATTGTAACTCATTTTCAGGAACCTGAGGCTCCTATGAATGAATTGGTTGCCTCCCTCATGAATGTCAACAATCCATTGGATGAGAAAATGACCTCCAGTCACATGACTTTGTTCTCTAATGCTGCTCCTATCACAGACTTACAGTATGTTAGATTGCAGTCATCTTGATACTTAGATATTTTGATATTTAGATACGACCACAGGTTTTTTAAGATGTAAGAAAGAAATTTGTGTGATTTTTTTCAGAGAGGAGGATAATTCAGATGATGATGAAGGAATTTCAAGAGTCCGCAGATTGGCTGAGTTTGATCCTGAAACTGATCACAATCAGGGAAAGGTACACTTTGCAATGAAAAAAGCATGATCTTTTTAGAATGCTACATCATAGCACAAACTATAACCTTGAAGCTGTTTCATTTGTGGCTTTAGTGAAGTCATTATTATTTAGGGTCAAGAAAATGTAAAGGCATGCATGACAGATTGTAATAGCTAATGAAAAAGTCAGAATGGATAAGATTTTATTTTTTTAGCAGACAGAAGACTTGGTGTTTGATGACAGTGAAGAAGAAGAGGAGTCATTCAGTCTGTTTTCAAATTCTGTGAAAAAACAAAAGATGACAAAATCTAAACAATCAGAGAGGACTGATGAAAACGGAGAATCTGACCCCGGATCAGGTAGTGACTCTGACATGGAGGTTAATGAGGAGGAAATAGGAAATTCTCAAACAAGGGTGGAAGATAGCTCAGATTCTGAAGAGGAAGAAACTGTAAAGAAAAAACCTAAATTATCAAGGACTCCGGACAGTACAAAATCTGGTGGTTCTCTAAAAGTTTCTGGTGCTAGTGAGACTAAACATAAAAAGGAAAAAAGTAAAACATCCAGTAATAATTCACAAATTGGAAATGTTAATTATTCTGGAAGGTTATTGGTGGATAATGATAAGAATAATGAAAGGGAAGTTGATTCTGACAGTCCTGAGGATGATGAAGGCAGTGAAGAGGAGGAAGATGATGTTAAAGAAGAGGAAGGCAGTATTGAAGATGACTATGATGAAGGTACAGAGGAGGAAGAAAATGATGATGATGATGATAATGATGACGATGATGATGATGATGACGATGATGATGATGATAGCAGTGAGGATGGAGATGAAGAAGAGGGACATTTAAAATGGAAGACCAACATAGCTGCTGCAGCCGCGGAATCCTTCAGAAGGAGAAAGTCGGAGAGGATTAATTATAGGAAGCTTATTTATGGTAAAGGTGAGTGCCGTGAATGCCTTCAATGTGATTGGTGCCTTCAGCAGCAGTAAACATTTACTCTTGCTTGTTGAAGTAAATTTGACCCTGCTTTGTTATTTGTGTGTGTATGTGCTATGAAACATAAACTGTTTTCAAGGGAGAGAGGATATTTTAAGTATTAGAATCACTTGTAATCGTATAATTCAGTGATTTTCTGTTTAGTTGAGGAAGAGAAGGAGGAGGTGGAGGAAGAAGAGGAGGATTTAGGAGGATTATTCAAAGTCCTAAAGAAGAAAGAGGAGAAAGGAAATCCTAAATTGACAGCTAACATGACAGACAGTTCTAAGTGTGTGCCTGACAAACTACAGGACTGGGATATTGATGAGGTAGGTAATCATGCGACGGGGGGGGGGGGGGGGGGGGGGGGGAGGGGGGGTGATTGTGTTCCTGACAAACTGCAGGACTTGGAAATGGATGATGTAATCATGCCACTAACTTTGGGGGGGGGGGGGTACCCCAGGGTGAATTATAATATTGTTGTAAAATCATGTACATAGTGAAAACTACAAATCTAGGGGCTAGAACAATGTTATTTGTAAAGGGGAGTAGATTACCTTACCAGTTTTTGTAATCTCCTGAGTTGTCAAGTGGTAAGTACAATGTACAGTGATTTGCCTTCCAGGTGCAGGATTTGATCAGAGATTGCTTTGTGACAGGAGAATGGGAAAAGAGTGAGGATGCTCAGGCACTGCTTGACCAAGATGGTAAGGATACACAGTACACTTATGGTACCCAGTGGAAATATCAGCAATTTTTTTGTGATAAAAAATTTATTCTTAATCAGGGTGGCGATTCTTTGTAGTTTTTTACTATTATTGGACAATTGTCATTATGGTTTTTAACTACATATTGAGGACGATTAGATTTTCTACTTAGACTTGTCACGTGATTTTAGCACAGTCATATAATTGCATTATTGAGGTCACTGATAATCTTTAGTAGTGCAAGGGCATAACCAAGTTAAAATTCAAAGTTTAGTTCATAAATATTTTAAACATCCATTGTAGTTTGTGAAAAGTGCTGCGATTCTATACAGATTATACTATTTCATTGTTAAAATTATATTTGTATATATATATATGGCTGCATGCTGAATTTTTTCCTGGTCAACTTCCAATCATTAAATATAGAAATAATTAATTCATTATCAAGATTTCTCGAGGATCTCTGCATTTTTCAAATAGCTTAATATCTCTAAAGTTTATTTGTAAAAGCTTACTATGATCCATTGAGTGTATGCCCTTGCACCTGAACAATTTTTTAAGACCCTTACATGTACTTGCATACATATATACAACAATATCAATTAACTAGGAAATGTATGGAAAATATAAGAATAAAACCATAAAAAAGATATTGCATCCAAGTTAATGGCCTCTTAAATATCTGCAAATGATATTTTATTTAATTATAAAATTCATTTTTCGTTGTGAAAATATGTGATCTGCCTCGTTCATACAAACTGCGTCAAGTTTTACAAAATGACGTCACATAGACAAGTGCATTGCGATCAGTGATTTGTTTGTACCTTCCTATGTGGGATTTGACTAACTATAATACAGCAGATTTGTAGGAAGTTAAAAAATTGACAATATTTTACAGATGAACTGTATGGAGACTTTGAGGATCTAGAAACTGGAGAGGTTCACCATGGTGATGAAGATGAAGAAGATGATGAAGAGGATGATGATGATGATGATGATGGTATGAGGTGTATTTTTTGTTCTTATAATAGGAAGTTAAAGATCACAAAAATTTCCGACATTCACATTACTTTGTATCATCATTTGTCTTTTTCTGGAGATATGAAAATTTCTGTACATCTCTTTTCTTGAAAGAAAAATTGAAATGAAAAAGTTCTTTTGTCAGGAGACCCATCAAAAAAGAAAAAAACGAAAGCTCAGAAGACAGCAATCGAAAGAAGAATGGAAAAAAAAGAGAAGCTTAAGGAATTATTTGACAAAGAGTACGACATGAAGGCCGATAACCAGTTCTATGAGAACTGGAAACAGGAGAATGAGGAACAAGCCAAGGTTTGAGACTTACATGTAACATAAAAACAGAGAAGTGATAACAGAATGAAAGGAAAAAAATATATGTATCACATCCTTTCTGTACAAGTCATTCGTGTGAAATACTGTCCATATCTCAGGCTTATGAAAAAAAACTAAGTGTAAATGATTTGTTCTTGTGTAAAATCATTTCCAAAATGTACACAAAAATCCTGCTCTTAAAAATTGCTCTAAGAGAACAATAGAAATAACCATGATCCCATGTCTTCCAAGCCTGTAATTTCTTCATGTGGAAGGGTTTAACCTAGCATTAGAAGTATACAGAGCTGAGGAACCTGTGATTGGTCTATATAATTTTCTTATCATTTCAGTTGAATCGAGCGGAGTTTGAGACTATGGAGGACGGCCTACGTGTGGGGTATGAGGGGTTCAGGCCAGGAATGTATGTCAGGGTGGAATTAGAGAGACTCCCCTGTGAACTCACTGAGAACTTTGATGCTACATATCCCCTCATCCTTGGGGGACAACAGAGTGTGGAAGGGAACATAGGATATGTCCAGGTACTTGTGGATTGTAATGAATAATACATATGAGTAATCCTTTTTTTCAAGCTAAATTTCTTTGATATAAGACTTATTGATTTTAAATATAAAGTATTAGTAACAAGGTAATTTGATTCTCTATAATATTATTTGACCTGTATGTTTATAAACATGTTCTGTTTGGATTCATATGACCTGTATATTTATATCCCAATTCTATATAGACTTGTATGACCTGTATATTTATATACCTGTTTATTTAGACTCGTATGAAGAAGCATAGGTGGTACAAGAAGATTCTGAAGAGTAAAAATCCTCTAATTATCTCCCTTGGATGGCGGAGATTTCAGTCCATTCCTCTTTACTCAATACAGGACCACAACTTCAGAAATCGTCTCCTCAAGTACACCCCACAACATCTCCATTGTCATGCCTGCTTCTGGGGTAAGTAAAAAATTAACTCATCTGAAGCTAAATCTAAAATAGGATTCTCACAGAAATTTTCCCTCAGTAGTAGCTGTAATCACAATATAGCTTTGCATGTTTTTTTAACTCCTTCAAAACAATTTTTAGCTCACCTCGACGAAGTCGAGATGAGCTTATGCTATACCCCCGGCGTCGGCGTCGGTGTCGGCGTCGGCGTTAGCGTCGGCGTCCCAGGTTAAAGTTTTAGGAGCAAGTCCCATTCCCAAGTAACTATAAGCCCTACCTGGACCAAACTTGCATGGATGATGCATCTAGGGATGGACACTACCAAACTTGCTTCGGATGCTGGATCTGACCTAGACTTTCCAGATGAGTGACCAGGTTAAAGTTTTAGAAGCAGGTCCATTCCCAAGTAACTATAAGCCCTACCTGGATTAAAATTGCATGGATGATGCATCTAGGGATGGACACTACCACACTTGCTTCGGATGCTGGATCTGACCTAGATTTTCCGGATGAGTGACCAGGTTAAAGTTTTAGGAGCAGGTCCATTCCCAAGTAACTATAAGCCCTACCTGGACCAAACTTGCATGGATGATGCATGTAGGGATGGACACTACTACACTTGCTTGGATGCTGGATCTGACCTAGATTTTCCAGATGAGTGACCAGGTTAAAGTTTTAGGAGAGGTCCATTCCCAAGTAACTATAAGCCCTACCTGGACCAAACTTGCATGGATGATGCATCTAGGGATGGACACTACCAAACTTGCTTCGGATGCTGGATCTGACCTAGATTTTCCAGATGAGTGACCAGGTTAAAGTTTTAGGAGCAGGTCCATTCCCAAGTAACTGTAAGCCCTACCTGGACCAAACTTGCATGGATGATGCATCTAGGGATGGACACGACCAAACTTGCTTCGGATGCTGAATCAGACCTAGATTTTCCAGATGAGTGACCAAATTAAAGTTTTAGGAGCAGGTCCATTCCTAAGTAACTATAAGCCCTACCTTGATCAAACTTGCATGGATGATGCATCTAGGGATGGACACTACCACACTTGCTTCGAATGCTGGATCTGACCTACATTTTCCACATGTGAGACCAGGTATAGATTTAGGAGTAGTCCCATTCCCAAGTAACTATAAGCCCTACCTCGACCAAACTTTCATGGATGATGCATCTAGGGATGTACACTAACCAACCTGCTTCGAATGCTGGATCTGACCTAGATTTTCCACATGAGTGAATTTTAGCCATATTTTAACCAAATTAGCATGGATGTTGTATCTAGGGATGGACACTTCCAGACTTGCTTTGGATTCTGAATCTGACGTACATTTTCCAGATGAGTGACCAGGGTAATTTTTTTTGAGTAGCTATATAATATTATGATTAAACTTGCATAGATGGTGCATCTAAGGATGAAAACTTCCAGACTTGCTTTGGATGTTGGAACTGACCAAAATTTTCTTGATTACTAAACAGGTCAAAAGTTTTTTGAGCAGGTCTATAATTAAATCAAACTTGCATGGATATTGATCTTGGGATGTACCCTAACTAGATAAAAAATATGATGTGAAATTTGCTTTACATGTAGATAACATTCATCGAGGTGAGCTTCGTAATCTTTGATTACCTATGTTTTGAATATACAGTGAATTTTATTTTATTTTTTGAGGGGAGGGGATGTAAAACAATTTGAAATACTCAAAATGTTCCTAAACTACAGGTATGTTTGATATTTTTGCAATATGAATTGAAACTTGGAAAGTATGCAGATGAAATTTGTGAAATGTACCTATATGCACTGTGAAGAAAGCTAAACCTGTTTTGTCAGAAGCTACTTTATGTAAAATAAAGTATTTACCCATTTGAATTTATATCATTTTTCCAAATCATAAAAACTCTAGAACTTTTCTGAATCCCAGTAAAATACTTGTTACTTGAAGTTTTACCACTGTAAAACAGAGTAGGTCCCATAACACCACAATGAATTACTTGTTTGTTATTTGTAGGTCCTATTACCACAATAAATTACTGGTCTGTTATTTGTAGGTCCTTAAACACCACACTAAATTACTGGTTTGTTATTTGTAGGTCCTATAACACCACAATAAATAAATTACTGGTCTGTTATTTGTAGGTCCTAAAACACCTCAATAAATTACTGGTCTGTTATTTGTAGGTCCTACAACACTACAATAAATTACTGGTCTGTTATTTGAAGGTCCTATAACACCACAATAAATTACTGGTCTGTTATTTGTAGATCCTATAACACCACAATAAATAACTTGTTTGTTATTTGTAGATCCTATAACACCACAATAAATTACTGGTTTATTATTTGTAGGTCCTATAACACCACAATAAATTACTGGTTTATTATTTGTAGGTCCTATAACACCACAATAAATTACTGGTTTGTTAGTTGTAGGTCCTATAACACCGCAATAAATAACTTGTTTGTTATTTGTAGGTCCTATAACACCACAATAAATTACTGGTCTGTTATTTGTAGGTCCTATAACACCACAATAAATTACTGGTCTATTATTTGTAGGTCCTATAACACCACATTAAATTACTGGTTTGTTATTTGTAGGTCCTACAGTGTATAACACCTCAATAAATTACTGGTTTGTTATTTGTAGGTCCTATAACACCTCAATAAATTACTGGTTTGTTATTTGTAGGTCTTATAACATCACAATAAATTACTGGTTTGTTATTTGTTTGTTTGAATGTTGTTTAGCGTCCCTCTTGAGAATTTTTCACTCAAATGGAGACGCCACCACTTACCAGTGGAGAGCTGCAAATTTTCTCCTATACTCGGCACTTACGGCCATAGAGCATTGAGGGATCTTTTTCGTGCCAGCACGTACTGCGACACGGGACCTCGGTTTATACGTTCTCATCTGAAAGACCAGTCTCCATGTCCCACAGTGGGATTCAAACCCGCGACGTAAGGATCAACTCCTTACGCCGCGACTCTAGAACAGACGCTCTGAATCCCAGTAAAATACTTGTTACTTGAAGTTTTACCACTGTAAAACAGAGTAGGTCCCATAACACCACAATGAATTACTTGTTTGTTATTTGTAGGTCCTACAACACCACAATAAATTACTGGTTTGTTAGTTGTAGGTCTTATAACACCACAATAAATTACTGGTCTGTTATTGTAGGTCCTATAACACCACAATAAATAACTCGTTTGTTATTTGTAGGTCCTATAACAGCACAATAAATTACTGGTCTGTTATTGTAGGTCCTATAACACCACAATAAATAACTCGTTTGTTATTTGTAGGTCCTATAACAGCACAATAAATTACTGGTTTGTTATTTGTAGGTCCTATAACATCACAATAAATTACTGGTTTGTTATTTGTAGGTCTTATAACATCACAATAAATTACTGGTTTGTTATTTGTAGGTCCTATAACATCACAATATATTACTTGTTTGTTATTATAGGTCCTATAACACCACAGGGCACAGGATTACTGGCTGTAGAGTGTGTGGCTGGGAAAGAGGTGGGCTTACTTACGAACAAAAACTACTAAGTTGTATAAACAACTTTTTTATGTTTTAAACATATTTGTAAATTTCATCAATTTTAGGGGTGAAATAAATGTTTATGGAGCTATATTATTTATTAGGTACATGTACATATAAACTACATGTACACATACAATGTTTATATACAATATAGCTTTAGGAATCCTGTCTTTTGATAAACTTGGTACAATTTGGCGTTAGGATTGCTGCCTGTTTTACATAGGTACAAACACATGTATAAACTGTTTACAGCCTGGCTTAAGAATTCCTACCTTTTTAAATAGGTTCTTATACATGTCTTGTAAATCATTTACTGCCCTTGTTTAGGATTGCTACATTTTGAAATAGGTACTCATACATGTTTATAAACTATTTACAGCCTGGCTTTAGGATTGCTGCCACAGGTGTGGTTTTGGAGCTTGATAAATCAATACAGATTGTCAAGAAATTGAAACTTACAGGCACTCCTTACAAAATCTACAAGAAAACAGCATTCATTAAGGTAAGGCTCAGGTGTTCTACCTGTCAAAAGAGTAAGTTTTACTATGTTTTAGCACTGGTTGAAAATTGTAGACGTGCAGTAAATTGTTGTCAGCCTTTCAATATTTAAGGTGTAGAAATGATAAATGCTCTGTCCTCTTTTTTTTCCACCTGAGCATTCTTGGGTAATGAGGATTTTTTAAATGAAAGAATGCCCACTCCCAATTTAAAGAAAAAATGAAACCATGTTTTGGCTTTATTTTTCCAAAAATTAATGAAAACTTGTTTACAAAAACAGTTTTTGAAAAGAAAATTCTTTTGTTTTTAAAATAAGCAGGTCTATACATGTACCTGTTTACAAAAAAGTAGTTTTTAAAAAAAAAAAATTGTTTTTAAAATTAGTAGGTTTATAGAGATTTTTAGAGAAATGTGTTTGTTTCCTCATGTAGACTTTGTGGATTGGTAGGCTGTGATAATATGTTCCTGTTGGTAAAAATCGGAGGGATTTACTTGATTAAATTTCATAAGTATTGTGGATATCAGTTGTTGAATAAAGCAAAGTTTTATACCACACGGTTATTTTCAAATGTGCTTTATACAATTTGTTAAAATAGTCAGCAAAAAATCAGCAAGCATTGCAAATTTTATTAAAAATTTTTACTTGTTGGATAAAAATACAGTAATACAAAATTATTAAAAAAAAGTTTTATGTAATTTCTTAGGGTATGTTTAACTCTATTCTGGAAGTGACAAAGTTTGAAGGAGCTAAGATTCGGACAGTGAGTGGTATCCGAGGACAAGTGAAGAAAGCACTGAGGAATCCAGAAGGAGCATTTAGGGCCACATTTGAGGACAAGATTCTCCTTAGTGGTATAGAACAATTATGTGATTAAGTCCAAATCAAAAGAAAGCTTGTGAAAACAGGGAAAAATAAGAAGCAGCTGATTCAAAATCTTATTGAATTTTGCAAGCATTAAAAATCTGAGTATTACAACAGTTATTCATTTAGGCATTGAATATTTAATCCAAGTATATATAAAAAGTCAATTTTTTAAGGTTTTACCAAAGGTCAACATGCCCAGAAATTTATTTTTACAACAGCTCCAAAACTATGTGATTTATAAAGTCAAAACTTTTACAGTTTATAAATATATCATTGATTAACAGATAGAAAGTATCACTTGAAAACAAATATACAAAAAAATATATTTTTTGAGAAAAAACAATTTTAAAAAATTTGCATATTTTTAAAAAATGCACCTGCTTAATTCTGTACTTTTAGTGAAAACCATCATTGAAGAAATAATATATGTTTATCAATGAAGGGCAAGTTGGACGTGAATGGTCTCTGAAAGGCTGTTATTGATAGCATGACATGTATAAAGACAAGACCCCTTTAAAATCCGCCATTTGCAATGTACTTTCAGTTTCAAATCTTAACATTTGGACAAAATAAACAGAGAAAACAACTTTCCAGAGGCTATCGAAGTCCAACTTGCCTTTCATTGATAAACGTATATTGTTTCTGCAATGCTGGCTTTCACTAAAATTACTGAATTAATTAGGTGTATTTTTTAAAAATATATGCATTTTTTAAAAAAGAATTTTTCTCGATAAATACTTTCTTTAAGTATTTGTTATCAAGTGATACTTTCTATATGTTAATCAATGATATATTTATAAACTGTAAAAGTTTGAACTTTATAAACCACATGGTTTTCGAGCTATTGTAAAAATAAATTTTTGGACACGTTGACCTTTGGCAAAACCTTAAGTGAATTCTTTTTGCAATGTTAAATTTATTTTTTACACTTTACAGATATTGTGTTCATGAGGACTTGGTACCCTGTTGAGGTACCTCAGTTTTATGCCACTGTGACCTCCCTGTTGTTACCCCCAGCAGAAAAGGCAGGCTGGGTGGGAATGAAAACTCTGGGACAGTTGAAGCGAGAGAAAAGTATAGCAGCCCCAGTGAGGGAGGATTCATTATATAAGGTCTTATATATATATATATATACTTAGAGTTAAGTATAGCAACCCTTGTTAGGGAGGATTCATTGTACAGGGTCTGTAATATATACATGCATATACTCAGAGAAGTATAACAGCCCTGGTTATGGAGGATACATTGTATAAGGTTTGTAATATATATATATATATAGAGAGAGAAGAGAGAGAAAAGTATAGCAGGGAGGATTCATTGCACAAGGTCTGTAATATAAATGTTGCATCTCTAGTGAGGGAGAATTCATTGTACAAGGTCTATGATGTACATACATAATTATAAATATATATACTCAGAGAGAAATAAACCAGGCTCATTGAGGGAGAATTCATTGTGTAAAATCTGTGATATACATACATATAATTTTATGATATAGTAGTATACTTAAGTAGTGAGAAATATAGCAGGCTCATTGAGGGTGGATTTATTGTACAAAGTCTGTACATATATTTACAAGTTGAGCTTCAGATGTCTCTTTTAGGGTATCTGTTAGATACATGCATGATAATTTTTCCAATCCAATTCAGGTTTAAAAATTCAATTATTATCCATGATTATGGTCCTTTGAACATTATTTATTATATTATGTTATATTATTATACAATAAATATAGGATCTCCCATGATTTGTAGTTGGATATGATTTTTATCCAACGAGTTGTGTGTTTTTTATCCCCGAGCCTTGGCGAGGGGATAAAAACACACAACGAGTTGGATAAAAGTCATATCCAACTACAAATCATGGGAGATTCTTTTTATCCCATGTTTAATACTTCACAACCAATGTTTTACACTGTTTTATATGTAGGACACCACTTTATTTTATTTCATCACGCTAACGCTAAAACCATTGTGACGTCACAACTGCACTTAACTGTGGAATATGAAAAAATTATCCAATGAGTCATATCCACGGGATAAAGGGGTAAACATGGGATAAATATTAATTATATTATTTTGCAGCCTGTTGAAAGAAAAAAGAGATACGAGCCAAAACTGAAAATACCCAAGGAACTCCAGAAGATGTTGCCTTTTAAGGACACACCAAAGTCTGTAAAAGAGAAAGAGGACCCATACAAAAGAGTGGCTGTCATTTTAGAGCCACATGAAGCAAAGGTAAGCTATTCAGATCATGTGATCAATTGTGAATGGGATTTGGAATTGCTTGATACAACATTGATGAAACGTTTAACATATAGATTTATCTTCCTTCTGAAACAATATCCGTTTGTATTGCCCTAAAAAAATTTAGTAAAGTTTAATGTGTTTTAATACTAAGTAATTAAACATGTATTAAATATTTGAGATTAAAAAAATCAACCGGTATTTCCAAGGAACACAAAATATGATTCTTAAGAATAGTATTTTGACCCACAGTTCATAAATCCATTATTTATCCTTGAAACTACACTTTCTATCAAAATGTTAATACATATGGAATTGATACTCTTAATAGATACATGTATTTTTTTTTATTTTCAATAATATTTTTAGCTCACCTGAGCCGAAGGCTCAAGTGAGCTTTTCTGATCACATTTTGTCCGTCGTCCGTCCGTCCGTCTGTCTGTCCGTCCGTCTGTAAACTTTTCACATTTTTGACTTCTTCTCAAAAACCACTGGGCCAATTTTGACCAAACTTGGTACAAAGCATCCTTGGGTGAAGGGGAATTTAAATTGTTAAAATGAAGGGCCAAGTCCCCTCACAAGGGGAGATAATCAAGAGAAGACAAAAATAGGGTGGGGTCATTAAAAAATCTTCTTCTCAAGAACCACAGGGCCAGTAAAGCTGAAACTTATATGGAAGCATCCTGGGGTAGTGTAGATTCTAAATTGTTCAAATCATGACCCCCGGGGGTAGGGCGGGGCCACAATAGGGAATCAATGTTTTACATAGAAATATATAGGAAAAATCTTTAAAAATCTTCTTCTCAAGAACCACTGGGCCAGAAAAGCTGAAACTTAAGTGGAAGCATCCTGGGATAGTGTAGATTCTAAATTGTAAAAATCATGACCCCCGGGGGTAGGGCGGGGCCACAATAGGGAATCCAAGTTTTACATTGAAATATATAGGAAAAATCTTTAAAAATCTTCTTCTCAAGAACCACTGGGCCAGAAAAGCTGAAACTTATGTGGAAGCATCCTGGGGTAGTGTAGATTCTAAATTGTTCAAATCATGACCCCGGGGGTAGGGCGGGGCCACAATAGGAAATACAAGTTTTACATTGAAATATATAGGAAAAATCTTTAAAAAATTTCTTCTCAAGAACCACTGGGCCAGAAAAGCTGAAACTTAAGTGGAAGCATCCTGGGATAGTGTAGATTCTAAATTGTAAAAATCATGACCCCCGGGGGAAGGGCGGGGCCACAATAGGGAATCCAAGTTTTACATTGAAATATATAGGAAAAACCTTTAAAAATCTTCTTCTCAAGAACCACTGGGCCAGAAAAACTGAAACTTATGTGGAAGCATCCTGGGGTAGTGTAGATTCTAAATTGTTCAAATCATGACCCCGGGGGTAGGGCGGGGCCACAATAGGAAATACAAGTTTTACATTGAAATATATAGGAAAAATCTTTAAAAAATTTCTTCTCAAGAACCACTGGGCCAGAAAAGCTGAAACTTATGTGGAAGCATCCTGGGGTAGTGTAGATTCTAAATTGTTTAAATCATGACCCCCGGGGGTAGGGCGGGGCCACAATAGGGAATCCAAGTTTTACATTGAAATATGTATAGGAAAAATCTTTAAAAATCTTCTTCTCAAGAACCACTGGGCCAGAAAAGCTGAAACTTATGTGGAAGCATCCTGGGGTAGTGTAGATTCTAAATTGTTCAAATCATGACCCCTGGGGGTAGGGCGGGGCCACAATAGGAAATACAAGTTTTACATTGAAATATATAGGAAAAATCTTTAAAAATCTTCTTCTCAAGAACCACTGGGCCAGAAAAGCTGAAACTTATGTGGAAGCATCCTGGGGTAGTGTAGATTCTAAATTGTTCAAATCATGGCCCCCGGGGGTAGGGCGGGGCCACAATAGGAAATACAAGTCTTACATTGAAATATATAGGAAAAATCTTTAAAAATCTTCTTCTCAAGAACCACTGGGCCAGAAAAGCTGAAACTTATGTGGAAGCATCCTCAAGTAGTGTACACTCTAAATTGTTCAAATCATGACCCAGGGGATAGGGCGGGGCCACAATAGGGGGAATCCCAAGTTTTACATTGAAATATATAGGAAAAATCTTTAAAAATCTTCTCAAGAACCACTGGACCAGAAAAACTGAAACTTATGTGGAAGCATCCTGGGGTAGTGTAGATTCTAAATTGTTCAAATCATGGCCCCTGGGGGAGGGTGGGGCCACAATAGGTATTACAAGGGGGGAGTCTGGTAATGAACAGCATGGCCAAAGTTACTCAGGTGAGCGATGTGGCCCATGGGCCTCTTGTTTTTTTATATTTTTATCTCAAGTAAGGTCTATATATATGCACAAATAACTAAGAAAGACATCGGTATTATTCTGCATGTAAATCATGTTAGTGCCATTTACACCATACCTATAACCACTATTAAGGCTTTCTTGTCTATTGTCAATTCCATAAGGCAGGTTTAAATGTCAAAGTGCTTCTGGCAAAAGTCCATTACCAACATAAACCATTATTATTTATTTCACAGATCTTCAAAAAAAAAATATTGAATTTTCAAAATGTCACAAAAAGTTGTTGCACTCCTGACATTTTTGGCATCATTTTTGGGCATAACTTTTTTGTGAATTGAGATATCAATGAGATATTTGGCAGGTATTTAGACACTATCTAAAGACATATGCTGAGACATAGAAATTTATTCCCATTTCCTGTATTTTTAGTGCAAATTGATAAATATGTGTTTGGTCATTTTTTTTAAATTCATCCTATAGTAACACTTGCACGTCATATTCAGAGAAGAATTCTAGTAGTGAATTTCCATTCATCTATCCTGAAAATCAGGAGCAATATACAATAAAGTGTTACGTCTTTACATTTTATTTTAGGTTAACAAACTGATGAAGATGGTTAAGAATCTCTATCAACACAAAATGAGGTCGGACCGAATGAGAATGAGAGAAAGGGTTGCTAAACACCAGAAAGAAATAGAAAGGATCGGAGCAATCAAGTCTAGAAAACAAAAACAAGTCAAGAAAGACATCTACAGGGCACTGGGCAAATTAGAGAAACAGAAGAACAAATACAAAAAGGACTGAGGAATACTTCATAGGACATAAGACAAGCCTTTTGTTAAGGGAAGAGGAAAAGTTGCCACTGCATTCAGTCACAATCTGAGATTGATGATGGATACCAGTACACATGTACCTGAAGAGAACAGGAATATGAATTAAACTTTGTGACTTAAAATGCACTAAAAATACAATGAAATTCTTGATGCAGGGGGCATATAACAACAGAAACAAATCAACAAGAGTACTTCGTTAGCTAATTTTGACAATGTGTTTAGAGACTTGAAATATCTATAATGCAAAGATAAACAGGCATAAAACATGAATGAAGATCTAGGTATTTTTGTTTTTCATCCATCATAAAAATAAATATATAATTTTTTATTTAACAAGTTGTGTGTTTTTATCACCAAGCCTTGGCAAGCCACAGTAATGTTTGATGGGAAGATACGATGTGATAACTCAGTCTTGTTTGATGGGAAGATATGATGTGATAACTCAGTGTTGTTTGATAGGAAGATATGACTTGATAACTCGCAGTCATGTCTGACAGTGATTTGACAAGCAGAGAATTTATCCTATAGACCTGACAGTGATTTGAAGAGCAGTTTCAGAGTGACATTTATCCTATAGACCTGACAGTGATTTGAGGAGCAGTTTCCAAGTGACATTTATCCTATAGACCTGACAGTGATTTGAAGAGCAGTTTCCGAGTGACATTTATCCTATAGACCTGACAGTGATTTGAAGAGCAGTTTCCGAGTGACATTTATCATATAGACCTGACAATAATTTGAAGAGCAGTTTCAGAGTGACATTTATCATATAGACCTGACAGTGATTTTACAAGCAGTGTTAGAGTGACATTTATCATATAGACCTGACACTGATTTGAAGAGCAGTTTCAGAGTGACATTTATCATATAGACCTGACAGTGATTTGAAGAGCAGTTTCAGAGTAACATCATATGGACCTGACAGTGATTTGAAGAGCAGTTTCCAAGTGACATTTATCCTATAGACCTGACAGTAATTTGAAGAGCAGTTTCCGAGTGACATTTATCATATAGATCTGACAGTGATTTGAAGAGCAGTTTCAGAGTGACATTTATCATATAGACCTGACAGTGATTTGAAGAGCAGTTTCAGAGTGACATTTATCATATAGACCTGACAGTGATTTGAAGAGCAGTGTTAGAGTGACATTTATCCTATAGACCTGACAGTGATTTGACAAGCAGTGTTAGAGTGACATTTATTCTATAGACCTGACAGTGATTTGACAAGCAGTGTAAGAGTGACATTAATTTTTCTTATAAGATTTGATTTCGAGATGAAATTCAGACAGGTGATGCTGGTTACAATGTTAAGAGATTTAAAAAAAAAAAATATCTGAGCACATGTTTTTCTTTTGGAATTTGTAATTACACAAGGAATAAATGTATTACAGATTGAATTGGAATATGTAGTGAATAGGCAAAATTCTATTCTTTCAGACAATTTCTATTCTACTTTCGCAGAATGCGGATAAATTTTTGCGTCTCTGATTGGTAATATTTTCTTTGCTTTCATATACATGTAGCTTAAAATGGAATTCATTTTGTGTTGGCAAACATGTGAAGACTAACGTTACTAATGTTGGCTTAAGGAAATAAAGAAACTTGAAAACTTGTGTTATTCGAAACTTAGGACCCAAGCTGTCGAGACAAATTGCTATTGAATATTTCTTATTGACCCCCCCCCCCCCCCCCACACACACACACACACACACAGATAAAAAGATCTTTGTGAATTCATGCCAAGAAATTCCCTCTGGTCTATATTTTTGATAAACTCAATAAAAGTGCAATTTACACTAATGACAAATTTATATTCCCGGAAGAGACAATCAATGCAAAGCAAGTTGAAGATGATGAATCCTATAGGTATTGTAGGTTTCAATATAACGAATTATCCGATATAATTTCAAATGATTTCAACTCTATGAAGATGTTATTTCATATTTATTTATTTATTTATTTATATGAAATAGCGTCTAAACAAAGGTGAGGATTTTTGAAAATAATGTAAAATAATTCCTCTTTATTTAAAACTTGTAAAATTTAGGATCCGTCCTTAAAGCTGCTGACATATTAATTGCCTCGAATGACTCTTTGAGGAAAATCAGTCACTTCGGGGTAAATCAGTCATTAGCATAAATTACGCTTTTAATGAATTTTCTCCAATCTAGACTAGATAATATTGCGAAGGATTCCTCGGCATACTCTTAATTATTTAGAAATAAGAGATGAAATTCTCGAAACATTGTTGTCAATGTACATGATGTATTTGATACTTTTTTTCATGTGTAATTTTGTATCGTGTGCAAAACACCCAAGGATTACTTTTTTGTCATCTGTTTATTATCCAAAAAACAACAAAGAGACTTACCGAGTTTCATATTTTAATAATCTAATACTCAAAACTTGCCTATAGGGCTCATTCAGCTAGGTTATCTAACACACAGTGATCTAAGTATTTATCAGCAGCATCGAAAAAGAAGACTCAAGTTATGACTTATACCAGATAACACGTTAGAACTTAATCTGTGGAATTTATTAAGCAAGTGAAACTTGCTTATATGAAACATGCTCACTAGCACCTGATACATGAAGGCTGAGGGATAGGAATGCTTGCCTATATGAGCTATGTCCATTAGCATGAAACGTACTCACTAGCACCTGATACATGAAGGTTGAGGGCAAGGAATGCTTGCCTAAATGAGCTACATTGTATGTTCAGTAGCACCTCTGGAGGAGCAGAGTAATCCTACCTGAGTAGAACAATGCTTGCCCGGGATGCAATTTTTTGATAATTACAGGAGTACTCTACAAGGATACTACATTACTACATACATACATTTTTCCCTTGGGAGAAGTCAAATGGTAAACATACCAAGAAGTAATATGCCAAATTATGCAGGTGAGTAACAGCTGCAAAAGCCCCATAGAAACAACCAAGGATCACTTTTTTGTCATCTGTTTGTCTATTTGTCCATCTGTTAAATCCTGTGTCATTCCCTGCACGAGAGATGGGAATTTGATATTTAGCACTACGCACTGCATCTCCCAATTTCATAAGATACAATAAGGTTTCTGAGCACTTAATCTGAATTCGACCTTCAACTTGACGTTTGAAATACTTTGATAAAAGTCAATATTCTCTATTTTTCATGAAAAGAAATGCTTAGGAATTTTTATATAATTCTACAACTCACAATATTAAAGTAAAAAAGAAAAGAAAACTTGGATCATTTTACGCGGGATATATTGATATTGAGATCATTAAACTAGTATTTGGTCAACCTTAAAAAGTCAACCTTGACCAAAACACGACCCGGAAAGAGAGGGCCCTGATCTTAACCATCATTATTTCTTCTTAGTTGTAAGAGTTTGCAGGAAGAGTAACTTGTTTTAAGAAAGCTCAGAACTTCGTTGGTTTTTATTATATCTTGAGTGATGCCAATGCTGCAAACACGTGTTTTCCTTGAAACACTATTATTTCCAGAACTTGAAACCACTTGATAATTGCATATGCTATAAAACCCGGAAATCTATAGATATATCGCTTATTCATGCCGTCAGGTCAATTGCACGTTCAAGTTCGTGAGTTTGCCCGACCTGAAATTCATTCATTCTTCGTGTACTTTAATTTGAATATAAGGTATGCTTGCAAAGGTAGTCATGTCCTTGATTCAAGGCCATATCTCATCCTATTTGAGTGGTCTTTGAAAACGCAATAAACGGTACTTTTGCTTAAATGCCGGTCATAGTCTTGATTAAAGGTCATATCTCAAATTTCAAGGTCAATGGAACCGTAAATTTAGTAAAGCCGATATATTTGAAAATGACTGAAGACTTCAGATATGTGTAAGAAATTGTACACTGTTCATTTTAAAATTCATGGTTTTGAATGAGATACTGAATACATGATTTAGGTGGAAAGTTGGGTCATTGTTTTTAGAACAAACGTCTTGTGTCTGCTAGAGGCTAGCTTGAGTATTAAGAACAAGATCTTGCATATTCTATTTTGTTCTTGCTTATATGAAGATGTTCTGACTGGCACAATGTTGACATTGATTGACTGTTCGCAATAATAACAAATAAAGAAGGTATACCCAACTTCAAGCCTTTGTATTTTCTATTTTCGCAATTTAAAAAAAAAAAAAAAAGAAGTCTTTTTTGAAACTGTGAAAGTTTCGATTCACTTAAGCATTGAATTGAATCGTCTTTGAAGATATTACATATTTTTGAATGATATACACTGCACTTGTATATCTAAATTGAGGGAGCAGCCTTTACTGTTCAATGTGAGCGTGAATTCTGATCTTCGTTTATCATGTTGCACTTGTACGTGGCGTTCAACGTTAAAAAAAAATTACTTAACCTTTTGACCTCCCTGTCTGTTAGGGTATTATATTTACATCCACTGAATATTATTACCTTTATTTCTTATAAAAACCATTGCCGTTAATCAGTCTATAAACAACACTAAGCAAACCACCTGCATAGATTACTAAAGCAACGGCTATTCCATCTATTATCCATACAATGACATACACATCTATAATACAATATTTAACATATTTAATTTACTTTGAATGTTTTTTTAAAAGATAGCCTATGAATATAAACAATAAAATGTCTTTCCTTCTTTGTTAGCACAGGAATTAACGTCGCAGCTATTGCAGAAAAAATTCACATAACCCTCTTACGCGGTTATGTATTTTTTCTGCAACAACTGCGACATTAATTCCCGTACTAACAACCAAAGAAAGCATTTTATTATTTAAATAAATGTCGTAGCTTTCAACGCACTTTATAAGAAAAATACATATCGATTTTAAATATACATGTATATCATTTTGACACTCTTTGCGTCATCGATGTTTGCTGCAGATTTTATAGATTTTTTTTTACAGCAAAAGATGGAGAGAATACGATGTTTTATTGCCCTGTATCTTATCTCTAGCATAATTCTTCATTGAACATTTTTTATTTTCCTGTCTCATGAATTCTTTGGAATAATGAATCCAATAATGAGCACTTTTTGCTTCAATGCAATTCAATGCAATTAAACCACACGTCACGCATCTTTAAGAAATATATGTCGACAGTTATCGATCCTCTCTGTGTCTCTGATTGGTAATATCAGAATTATACTAATTTTTTGTTACCGAATGACGTGTGATGTAAACAACATTCTCATTTTTTGAAAAAAGGAAACAATGTTTGAAGTATTACTCTTGGTAGCTTTAACTCTACAATCTTGACCCACATTTTATATTTGCGACCTTTAATTAATTATGAAACAGT